TACACACGAAACAGCTGTTGTTTGTTATTATGAAGATACCAATTATAAAGACAAAGTATATGGGTGAAAGGATGGATTAGCACACGCAGGTAGCAGGGATCTGGGGTCTGAGCTACAGAGAGAGCTGGAGGTGAGTAAAAAGAGTTTTACGATGAAAAAGTAGCTGCCTGCTCTCATTGGCTGGATGCGGATGTTGACCGACTCTTCCAGATATTTGGCATGCTAGATATCTGGCTGGCGTTGGGGAGTCGTTTTGATGTGTTGTTGAGTAGTTCACACATAACAACTGGCGACTGCAGTTTGACCGCTGATTTATCCCTGATCACAGCCTGACTGTCGCCGAGCTCTCCAAGCGGCAAATCGGGCTTAAAATCGTGTGGCGTGAACTAGACTTTAGTCATTTTTTAAGCAAACATGCTAACAATTCCCTCGTTCCACCTCCTCAATTGTGAGGATTTTTTGAATGTGATAGTAAAGTTAATATATTTGGGTTTTGGACTGTTGGTTGGATAAAACAAGCAAGAGTCTGAGAAATTATGGGGGCAATTTTCTCAATGGACCTGAATGATTAATTAAGAAAATAATCGGTAGATTAATCTACAATGGAAATAATTGTTAGTTGCAGCCCTACTCACTAAACAGGTGTGTGTCAAGAATACATTTATGCAGCTTATTATCTCAGTAAATGGGTTAATTGGTTGGTCTGTAGAATATCAACAAATAGCAAAGAAGTGCCCGAAACAAGTTCCCAGGCAACTTTATTCTTCAAATATAATGTTTTGTCCGATCAACAGTACAAAACTCAAAGATATTCATTACTCTTCTCTCTCTGTTCACGTTTGAGAAGTTGGAACCTGTGGATTTTTGTTGACATGAACTGTCATTCAGTTGTCAAAATAGCTGCCATCTTTCTGCCGTTTCAGCTCTAGCTGCCACTTCCCTTAATTTAACCCTGATGTGTTGTTTGTAAGTCCTTTTCTGTTCGGCGCAGTGCTGAACATGTTGTGCAAATGGTGGTAGAGTTTTTAAGAGTCCTTAAGAAGCGTGTGATTCAGAGGTATGAAACGAGGGCAACGAGTGATGAGTGAAGTCACGAGAAGCTGTGACTCATGTCCCCCCTGGGTTTTCTCTAGGTACACTGTGCTCGGAGAGACACAACTAATTCCTATTGATTTCCTTTCTCACACACACACACACACACACACACACACACACACACACACACACACACACACACACACACACACACACACACACACTCTTGTCTTCTCCAGCTGGACGGTGATCAGACAGAATTAACACTTGAGAATCTGTCAGTTAAGCAGGAAAGAAAGGTATTTGATGCTACATGGATGCCATATTTATTCTCATTCAGACACCAAAAAATATTTAAAAATTAAATATTTTAAAAAATGTAATTAGGAGACATTAAATCATTACTGCTTGTAAAGAGGACTTCACACTTTGTTTAAAAAAAAAAAGTCTCCAGTGCTGCTGTGTAATCGCTTAGGTATGCTACTTGTCATCCCTGATGATTTGTGAATCTCCATGTAACTGAGGCTTGTGGCTCGCCGTATGTGGAGCACTTATCTCTGCTAATACAAAAAGAATATAATGAGGTTTTGCTTACTTGTGTTCTCTGTAGGGGATAATTGCTTCATGTGAGTAAAAAGCCTGTTGCATGAGTCTCTGTGGAGAGGCTGAGGCCCTCTTCAGTCTGCCTCTCTCATTATTAATGAAGTGGCTTTCACTGTTCTGTTTTGAAAACAATCTCCACTCCAATTGACTGGACTGAAATACACAGACTATTCTTTCAGATACAATTAAACTCCTCCAACTCTCAAGTTAAATACATAAACTTCTATTAAATTAAAAGTAAGTATGTATTACACACACACAGTTGTTGCATTTTTTACATTTTAAAGAAAAATCGTAAACGCTTCAGACCTCAGAGTGAGTGTTTCCCATTTCAGTGGCTAAATGACATCTGACTGCCAGTGTGGCTATGAGACGCACTGTTAACTATCGTGGTGCGCTGATGTCTGGAGCACATGATAGCCCTGTGTAGGCTACGAATGTGGATAGACATTTTTACAACAAGCCATCGTTGGTTGTACACCAGTGTGCTGTGTGTTACTTCTGTTCCTTATAGGCGTTACCCACAGTGATTCGAAACACGATGCAGAATAACACAGGGAGTCACATCAAAGATGGGAGCACTGTGCTCCCAAGTCAAAGCACCAGATATTATCTGCACCAATCAAATAACGGTACCAACTGTGTGATTTGGTACCAAAAATGCATCCCCTTCAGAAGACAAAATAAATAAATAAATAAATATAAATGTCGGCTTTTTGTTATTTACAGTTTTGACACGAGTCTAGTCAAACTTCAGGGAATTATATTCAGTTTTCTAAACAAATATGAATTTTGATTTCAGTTCCACTTTAATCTTGATATTGTCGTGCCTTAAATTTCTATTTTAGGGTTATTTACTTGCATGAATAGATAAGATGCAGACACTAGCACACCTAAATGTTAGAATGTCAGATGTAGTAACATCTTCACTCTTTGACCTTTTGAACCCAAATCATGCATTCCACCGTCTGGTTTACTGCTCATCAGAGAGGTCACTCGTGATGTTTGGCTCTTTTCTAGAGCACTGCAGACAGTGAGATGAGGATTTACGACCATATTGTCATGTCAAAGGTCAGATGAAACTGAGACAGTTTTGAGTGGTGGACCTCAGCAAAGAGACGTACACCAACAAGTCAGCAGTTAATATGTCGTCTCCCGTGAACCGTAGTGCTGCTATAAATAGAAAATGTTGCACCATGATTTTGTCTTCGCTATTAAATACTTGGAGCAATACTTGGATTATTTCCTGCAGTGGATTAATGCAGCTGTGATGTTGGTTTATGTGTTATAACAGGTTTAGACAGTGGCACAGAGGAATATACTATATCAGGTTTTGACTACATTGGAAATATTTATTATTGGGATTAATTCATTGTTGGTTTTTGTCTTTTTTGGGGGTGTTTGGCTTTTAGGGGGGAGTTATTGACGATAAGAAAAATATCACAAGCTTTATTCTGTAACAAAACCTAAATGCTGTAGGATAAAAACTGTGGAACAAACATGGGTTTTCCCCCTTTTTCTTCCCTCTCAGTATTTGTGTGTATTCAGTATTAATATTCTGTGTTGTAGTGAAAATTCTATTATTAGTATATGAGTATACTCAGTAGCTTCTTTTTAGCTTCAAAGACAGCCTGAACACACTGCCTGGATCCTCCCATTGTTCTGCTTCATCTTGTTTTCTGCTGTTTTAACCCCTGAGGCCTGTGGGATGTTCTCTTTTCCCAATGCACTATCCTCCTCCACCTCCCCCCAACCCCCCAGTAAAAGTGATCATAATGCATCTCCTCCATGATCTCTTCTCTGCCAGTGTGGGGCTAAAGTCATTGATAGAATACTTAAAATAGGATTAATAATATATTGTATTTTGCTAACCGTATCTTTGGGTGATGGGAATAAAAGCTATTGTTGATGTTGTAGCTGATGGCAGTTCATTATCTGTCTTTTTCTTGCTGGCAGGGGCAGCACTCTGCAATTCAGAGGGCCACGTTAGCAGCTTGTTATGACTACTGTGTAAAGAGTCCTTATCTTTTTTTTGTTCTAACGGCTCTGCTCCGACACCGCTGACCTTCATTATCTGCGGATGCAGTCGGACTCCGACGTCAGCGTGTCGCGCAGTTGGCAGCTCGCTCTGTTTACTTTTTCCACTTCCCATCTTCTATTCCTTTCTTTGTCACGTGCTTGGAAATAACCTCACTCGCTTTTGTTGAGATGACATTTCAGTCAAAAGGGGAAAAAACGTGTGTTATAATGCAACTCCACCTGAGGAGTCCCAGCTATAGGAAAATGTCACATTAAAGGGAATCCGCTCCGATGGAGCACAGTGAGATACCAAACATTAATCCAGGAGCAGAGTGCAGATAAAAGCTTTCTCTCCTAATACTTCAAATCCTCTGATACCATCTCTCACATTTTCCCCTTGAGCAAAGTAGCTTTATTGGGCCCAAACCCCATTCACTGGGTGCATCTCAACTCCCTTAAATATTTTCCTGTGCTTAGTCCCTATGATTGAAGACGTGAGAAACCCCTTTTTAGTAGAATGAGACATCGTTACTTCTCAGACATCATCTGAATGATCGTCACTTTCTTATGATGTTGTGAATGGATCAGCTGTCTGTTGGCGTCAACATCACTGCAGCATCTTTTGTTGCCTTGGAGTGTGTATTTGCTCAGATAATGTAATGTCCAAATGATAATAAAAGCGCTCAGTTACCACAGCCAGCACTTTTTTTCCCCCTCCTTTATTGATGTCCTCTCACATGACAAACAGAACGTGAATTGGTTTGTGCATGTTACACATTAACATGAACCGTTTGACAAGAATCCACACAAACTGTGTTCTGTGTTTACTGTATTCTGTGCTCAGATCTGTTGTTCAAAATGGACTTTACTGCTCAGACACTAAATGTGTATGAACCATTTTTACTGGAAGCAATGTTTTCTTTATTTATGATGAATTATTTGCGCATACATATATTGATATTTGGTATGTAAATTCAATTTGTGATAAACCAGTTTATGATTAAAATGTAAATCCTGACACATGGTGCTCATTAGCGTCACGTGTGACTGAATGGAAATGGCATCTATAACGGGCTAATTAAATGTGTTTATTGCTGAGAGACAACAGGCTGTCCTCCTCGCCCTGAATATATTAATATTCTTAATACAGGTTAAATGGCAGATAATGATTATGAAATCTTTCTGGGGTTTTTTGACAGAGCAATTTTTTTAACAAACAAACTCGGAACAACATTGGACTCATTGTTGGCCAGGCATTTTCACAAACTGCAAGGAATTATAAAATAAGCGAATTGGGATGTACTTTGAATTCTTTTTCGTTTTCCTTTTCTTCATGTTTTCAGGATGACAACTGGGGCGAGACCACCACGGCCGTCACGGGCACATCAGAGCACAGCCTCTCTCAGGAGGACATCGTTCGCATCACCAAGGACCTGGAGGACAGCGTGGGGCTCGACTGCCGTCGTTACTTTACCCTGACCCTGGCCGTGATCATAGGCCTGCTGGTGTTCCTGACGCCGCTGGCCTTCCTGGTGCTCCCCCACCTCCTCTGGCCGGAGAAGCTGCAGAGTTGCGGCACGGCCTGCGAGGGCCTCTTCATCTCCGTGGCCTTCAAGCTGCTCATACTGCTGCTGGCCGTGTGGGCGCTCTTTTTCAGGCCGCCACGGGCCGGCCTACCGCGGGTCTTCGTATTCCGGGCGCTGCTCGCCGTTCTGGTGCTGCTTTTTGTCGTTTCCTATTGGCTGTTCTACGGAGTCAGAATACTCGACTCACAGGTGCGCAAAGAGAAGGATATGCTATAAATAAAAGGCCTGAAATATAATAGGTATTATTGCTTGTAAGTGCACACTGAAAGAATATATTTTCAAGTGAGTCTACAGATAAACACACACACACTGAAGCAAATGTTTCCAATAGCAGTGGGAGAGGTCTTGTAAATTGCAGACACATTCATTTTTAATGCCTTTAGGAGCTTAACAAAATTGCAGACAACAAAAACACAGATATTTGGTTTCCCCAGTGCTATGTGTTTACTGTGTGAGTCATAATTTAAAATCCCTTCTGGTCCCTCATTCAGAAGGCAAGTAGGAAAACACACACAGAAAAATAGGGGATCTAGAAAGCTTGCAATCCTTTGAAATGTATCTAAATATTCATATGCTCTACATCTTGTCTACATGTGTATGATCTCCTTTTTACCCCTGCAGGAATATGTTATGCTTGTTTTTGTTTATTTTCATAGGTTTACTGCTTTTGCATGTAGTCCATGTATTGTGTGTGTGTGTGTATACTGTACATGTATTTTCCTTTAAGAGGTGCATACTTCAAACTTCAAACTTGATTGCTTACAGGACGAGAACTACCAGGGCATCGTGCAGTACGCTGTGTCGCTGGTGGACGCTCTGCTCTTCATCCACTACCTGGCCATCGTCCTGCTGGAGCTCCGGCAGCTCCAGCCGTGCTTCTCTGTGTGCGTCACACGCTCCACGGATGGTGAGACTAGGCACTACAACTTGGGACACCTAAGGTGAGAAGCACAGTGGCTATTTCAAGTTGTAGGTGTTTTCTTTTTTAAGTTTGATGTTGTACCCTCGTGTACGTTCTAAAACCTATTGAAAACGTGGCCGTGATTTCTGTTAAATGGTTGGTCCTGTTAGGAAGCGTTGAAGGCTCTGTAATTTCAGCTGGGTAATGTAGTAACATTACTCAAACAGGCGTTAATAGTGCATTTGTTGGGGACTATTTTCAGTGGCGGATTAATACACATTTGGTGCTGTAGTGAGTATTTGGGGCTGCAGGACGATGTATATGTGATTAAGTCTAAACAAACTTTCCTGCGTGTGTTCATGGTAATGAAGGAACATGCTAGAGGTAGAGCGGCTTGGAGGTTGGAGGTTTGATCCCCGAGTCCTCCAGTCTGCATGACGAAGTGTCCTTGGGCAAGATACTGAACTCCAAATCGTTCGTGTGTGTGAACATGTTAGTTTCTGTTTTGGTGACATTAAGAAAAACATAGAACAATGACATATTTATCCTTAAATGTCTGGTGGCAGTCTGACTTTCACTCAACAGAGTCAGAGCTGTCTCAGCTTGCTACTGACAAGGTACTGAGAAGATTTATGGCTTCTAAATAAAACTGTCACCAGAAAATAATGTTGGCAAGAATTGTAAGACCTTGCTTTATCAGTAGGAGGAAGTGGGAAGTTCTCTTCTGTCATGGCTCCACTTTGTAATTTAGGCTGATATGACATGCAGGTGCAAATGTAGAGGGGAATCTTACATATTTGACAACTGTAGAGCAATCAGCGAAATTGTAAGACTGCTTTAATCATAGAGAGCAAGATAGCAGTAAATACCCAGTTGACCTCTGTGCATGTAGAGATTGAAGACAGATGGAGTAAGAGGAAGGGGACACGACAGGAGGTAAAGAGAGCTGGGTCGATGTAAGCGACCAGGGGACAGAGGGATGAAAGGGAGGGAAAACAGGACGTGTGGGCGAGATGAGGAAACGATACTGAAGAAACTGGGAAACCTGAAGTGAGAGACACGGGAAAGAAAGAGGGAAGTCACTGGTTACATACTCGGAAATGCAAGGAAGGAATTTATACAGGAAAGACTCAAGAAAGTCAAGAAAGTGAGAGAAGGAAAAGAGGGAGACTGAATGTTAAGCCAGAGATGGAAGACAATGCAAAGACAAAAAGACGCATCGACAAAGTGGCTCATAGCAGGAGGAAATCGTGCCAGGAGAAAAAAGGAGAAGGGTGGGGAAGACTTCAGAGAGGAAAGAGCTGCAGACAGAGGGTGGAGTACAGAGGGAAGACCCAGGGGACAGAGGCAGGGATAACGCTACGGGAGGCAGTGAAAGAGAGAATAGAGAACGAGGGATTAATAGTTAATGGGAGGGTAGCGTTGAAGAATCCTAAAGTGTATGTGGGAATGAAAGAAAGAGAAGGCATGTGTGTAGGAAAGAACATTTCAGACTAGACCAACCAGGTTTTTATGACCTTTGCGTCTCTGAGGGAAAACAGCAGGATCTCAGTTTTAGCCAAACACAGCAGCAGGTATCCTGTTGCTCCCTGGTATCAATACACAGCCCCCAGTCACACAGACACTTAAATATACAGGTAACTATAAAACAAGATGGATTTATAGACAGGATGGATGAAATGTTATCCTACATGTACTCTTAGGTTATATCTTTATGGAGTAGCTGTTGGGGGAGTTTTGCAGGTGGACTGTTTCATACTTTAAAGGTCCTGCACTCACAGGATTTAAGAGTATGTCAGGGTGATAGCAGTTGATCCCAAAAATCCTCTGTACTGGATTTTCCATTGACTTTAAAAGCGTAAAGAAAGGTAACAATTTTCACCCAATGTAGATCCATTGCAGCATGACCCCGACTGGATTTTTGGATTTGAATTGCATTTGACGCTTAAAAACTGTCAATAAGAATGGAGTTTTTTTATTTAATTGTGACCAAAGTACATACTTAGCATGACATCAGCAGTTTCATTCATGCATCACAATCACTTGCTCACTCAACAGCTATGTGGCTATCAGCTGATTAGGAACATTATAAGACGGCACGTCTCACTGTCCCTCTGCTGATTCACTCATGTGAACTCTTATTACTGTTGCTGCTCCCTCCACCATGACCATCCCAGCCTCCTTCTTATTTTTGGTATTATTTATTTTACTAATATTTAATGTCCCTGTATGTGTTTACTTAGGGGGGATTAGCACTTTCTCAGAAGTTATCTATTCCTATATTAATTCTTGAAAATCTTGATGAGAAAAATTGTAACCAAAACACACACACTTGGAATTTGCTTTATATAGAATAGAAGAATAATAAAGATTATGTGTAATATGGCAAATGTGAATTATTAACGTGTGTGAAAAATATCAGATATGTTGTGCATAAATTCTCTACATTGAAAGAATGAATAGCCCTATCTAGCACACACTCACATACTACTTAATGACTAAATGAAGAAAATAAGTGTGAGTCTGAACATGTTTTAAGGCTTTTCCAGCATCCAAGAGCAGAAGAAAATCATCTAAAACATCAACTTTCCATGAGCTCAGAGACATAGCTCCTGTTTTCAGCTTTGTGGCGATGCATTTTTCAGATAACCCAATTGGTTTATTTTATCTTAGGAAGTAGAAAAAACTTCTCAGCCCATAAAGGAACCTTGAGTTTATTTGAAAAATAACACCTAACCCATATTTTGTAAACTGGAGATACAGTGACAAAAGGCAGCTTTACCATATTTTCAGTTCACCAAGAGTAGTAGTGTCATCTAACGTCACATTTTAGTCTTACAATATTGTTGGCAGTAATAAATAAATCATTTATAATGCAGAACCTGAGCTTTTAACAGGCTGAAAAGTGAATTGATTTTCATATTGATTTTGCATTGGTAGAAACAGGTCAGACAAGTGTGTGTGCGTTACGGTTGGTGTGTTAGCTGGCTGCCTTGGGGGTGTTGTCCTTTGTAAGCTGTGCCATTCATCCCCGCTTCGCCGGCAGCAGGCCTGGCCTCGCTCTGTTGTCCGTCTGTGACTGTAAACACACAGCTAATTAGTGCTCCCTGCAGACTGGAGCACAGCATCTGGTCAGCCTGACACACATGCATGGACACGCACAAACAGAGATGCACATTTGTGTGTCTGTTTGTGCGCGCGCATGGGTAATTGTACCATATACATGCAAATGACAGATTCATGCACATGTAGCCACAAACATGTGCACTGTATCATACAGAGGAACCCAGGCAGGAATGGGTGTTGTTTTCTCAGCCAATCTCTCATGTATCTCCTCTATTAACAGCCGGCTGCTGCTGCTGCTCAAATTCCTGTTTTTCTGGCATCCATCTTTTGCCTTATCATAATGGGGACCCAGCCTGGGCCCTGGGGCCCTGAAGGCTTGTCTTTGTCTGCCTGGCCTTTGATGTCAATCTGAGGGGTAGAGGAAGCCTTTTTTGCCCCCTCGTCAGTCCAGACTGGTTAAATATGAACGCATTCCTTACAGCCAGAGAGAGTTGTTGTGGAGGGGGTGGGGGTTAAAAACATTCACAGCAAGGGACTTCCCAGTTTACATTGCCTGACTGGTCAGTCCTGGAGCAGCAACATTAGAGAAGGCAGTGGTCAACGACTTTGGTCTCAAGGGCCATTGGTTTAAAGTTGTTTGCAGTTGTACTTTATTTCCATGTAAGATGCTGCTGCGTAGGCAAGCTGCATGGTTTGAATGGTTTTGTGTCATGTTTGCTCAGCTTAATAATTGATTTAAGTTGGGAAACGTCAGGAAGTCTGACTCAGCACTTACACAAGTGGCCACTAAACAATGATCCTGTCTGTAGTGACTCTGAATGCTAAATGAATGCAAAAGAAGGCTGCCCTGGTTTCTTGAGTTAACCAGGGGAGTTGCTATCATGGTCCCTTCTGCCTCTTTGGAGGAAATGAGCGCAGCCTCCGGTCTTACTAGATGATCGATGGTTTCCTACAGTGGTCTGTGACGCACTGCTGCTAAAATTCTTCTGAGTTGGTTTACTTCTGCCAGATTTAAAGGCCCTGGGAGCAATTTGTACATATTCTTCACCTACTACAGTATGTGACACTAACACCTGTTTGTAGGATACAGAATATGCTGTTATTTAATTGTCATATGTGCGTTTATATATCTTGATAATTCTTTATTATTTCCCTGACATAATTTCCCCATGAGCACAAAGCTTTCTCTTTGTATTTGTTTCCAAGGCACATCCAGTTACCTTTTTTTTAGTCTGTAAACTAAAGGAACACGTAGTCTTTGTAATGGGGCGGTACCAAATCTCTTTTTTTTCTTTTTTTACATTTGAAGCTTCTCTTGAGGTATCGGATGAATGTTAAAAAAAAATTGGACAAAAACCTCAATTTGAATGAAGTTATATATTGGATTAAATTACTTTTTTACTAATTAACTTTCTTTAATGAATATAACTCTTCCTTTTTGTCAACATAAATACATATAAACAGCAGGCTAATCCCAAAATCTGAACAGTCTAGTGCGGAAGTTCAGTGTGATCGACACCAACCCTTTCACAAACTACCAGAGCCGAAATAGATTTTTTGTTATTGATGTTATTTAAATGTAATTTATTGAGCTGTTAAGTTGCTGTTCGACCATCCCAGTAATACATGTGCGGGAGAGTAAACCGTGACCGCAGTGAAAATGTTATTTAAAGTCTAAACACCAACAAATATGGATTGAAGCAGAATTTTTTTTTTAGATCAGAAACGTTGTGAATTTTGGAGTCAAAATGTCAACGTTATGAATGAAGCTTCGAACTATTCAGTATAGCCCTATTTTGTAGGCTTGTAATAAATGTACAAAAGGAAAAAATTGTACCTTCATGACTTGAAAAACATGAAAAAACATGGAAAACATTATAAATAAAATTGGTAATACTGTATGAACAAGACCTTACGGGAAGGCATGAATTATTATCTAAGGTGGATTTTCATAGTCTTTGTGGAGGAACGTTCTGATATGTAAATGTTGACTCTTGTACAAATACGGATTCAATTTGGCCTTTTTGGAGCTATTACTTTCTTGCATTTAGAATTTTTCCTTTCAGTTTTTCCTTTTCTTCAGATTCAGTGAAATTCTTTTGATCAACATGAACAAACAGCACCTATCCTCTTTTATTTTATATTTTTTTTACAAGTCAAGTATTTTTAGTCTGTAAACCAATCTTAACATCTGTCTCGTAACTCTGTTAGCTTGTCATGATGTTACTGTCACTGCTTGTACATGTGACTTTGTGACCAGATACCAAAGCAGTAAGAATGAGTTATGGTTTAATACTGACTAGATGCCGGGTTGGGCTTGTATGTGCCTGTGGTGTTGTAAATGACGCATTACTAAATGTATGGTTAGTTCTGAGGAAGGACTGGAAGCTACAAGAGGTCTGAAAGTATCAGTGCTTTCATCAGTGGGTCAGAAGCCACACTGCGATCCGTCTTGGGGATAATAGGAAGCGCATGCTGCAAGCAAGTAAAGTGCTGTTTTTCGTGTATATTGAGTTAGCTCTCCACGTGGTCTGAAGAATGACTCAGGACACAGTGAGGGCGCACACACCTATGGATACATCCACACAAACACACAGAAAAAAGAGTCCATTGTTAAGCATTGAAGGTCGTGCTGTGGGTTAGGATCTGCTGTCCTGCAGGTTAAAGGAACTGAGCTTTTGGGACAGCAGCTATCCATATTTGTATAATGTGACTGCTTTAAAACCAGTCTGTGAGTTTTAATTTAATTGAATGTGTTGGCAAACAGTGTCTTTATTTATATATATATAGCAGACACAGCGCAACATGAGCATTCATATGGAGTTGTTGTAGGGTCTGCTGGATGAGTCCTATATTCACTCTCCTTTTAGCTCTCTTAGACGTCAAAATTATTTTACGCTTATTGTACCTTATTCTACAAAGAGCTATTTTTTATATTTTAAATTCTGTCATCTATAGAGCGGTTTTAAAGTGAAACTATTTCACTTTTGCTAAACTGCAGCCGCAAGTGGCAGCAACATAATAATGGTAAATGCTTTAATGCAGTGTAACAGTGTAGATTGAAGTAAATTAACTGTATTTGGAAAACACAATATCTGTCTCAGTTTTGCTAACATTAGCATTAGCTACTGTAAGGCTGTAGCAGCACACTCCCTGGGTACATTGAACTGAACAAGAGGAAGAATGTGTCACGTCTTCTCTCTCTAGCTTTAACTTCTACTGTCGCTCACTTCCAGGAAAACAGAGGCAGTGTATAAAAAAAGAACCAGTGATTTATGCCGTTATAACATGTGAAAGCATTTGTGTACAATTGGCTTAATGATGCTGTGTTATGAAGGACAAGACCTGGCATGCTCTCAGTGTAAAGGACCGGCATCTGGGCTATGGCAGCTGCTCAGGAGCACACATCGGTCTCTGACTGCTTTTACTTATCCCCTCCCTCTTGCTCCTCACCTTTCTCCTGTCATCTCCAACATCACTTCCTGCGTCTTGGATGTCAGTCTGTATATGGCAACCATCACAATGCAGCTCCGAGTGTCCCGCATCTGACACGATTTCTTTTGTTATTGGAACTGGTTTGGAAATAATTCCTAGAACTGGAAATGAAGAGGAAGAGCTGCTATTAATGAAACAAAATCACATTAATTGAGCAACAAGGAAATTACCGATTTGCTGTCAGGAGCTCTGAATGAATCCTCCATCCATGTGATGAGTGTTTTAAATAAACACTGTGTGGCTGTATATGGCTTGTCTTTTTTCTGTCATTATTTCTGTAATTCATCCTTTTGTGAATATCTTCTGGTTGATGTGTTTTGTATGACTGTGGTGTTACACCATTAAGGGAGTTCCCCACTAAGGTAGTTATTTAAGTATTACTGTTAGATCTATTAGTTCTCAGGTGGCTACGTATCGTTTCTCATCTCCCTTCCTCCTTCTGTATCACCTTCCATCTTTCCTCCTCTCTATTTCTACACTTTTGTTTTGTTTATTTATAATGTATAAATTTAATAATTAATTAAATGTATATATTTAACCCATATTAAACCAGGTAATCCTTTTAAGGTTACAGACAGCAACAGTAACCACAAGAAACATAGAAGATATACATTTACACGTTTAACTAACTTTCATTCATACATACGCTAATAATAACTTTAAAATCTGACTTAGAGATCAATTCTTTTAGTTCCAAGTGTTTTTGAAGGCCGTTCCAGGTGAGGGGAGTAGAGCAAATAAAAGCTTTCTTTCCCACTTCTGTCTGTACACCTGGAACAGACCACAAGACCACATCTTGTGATCTCAAACGATGGCGACAGTCACATTTCTGTGCAATCAATGTGCTAATATATGATTGGAGTTCACCCAGAATGGCTTTATAAATGAACAAGTACCAGTGATTGAGTCTAGGGTAAAGCATACAATGATGACGAAACAGAGACACGTCTTTTTCTGGATTGTATTGTTTTGTTTTTGAGTTGATATGCAAGTTGTTTGATTTTATTGTGACACATTTCTGTTGCTTATTCTGTACATGTTTTTGATGAATTCACATTTTCACAAGTGTTTCACTCCACCTTGCTGCCACTCAGCAGATGATACTTGCTATCCTCAGGAAATATGCGAAGGATTTTTTCAGTCTTAGCAAGCGTTCAAAGAAAGCCTATAAAATCTGTTTGGCCTCTTCTAGCTTCTTTACTGTTCCTCTGTATTCAGCATGAAGGGTTGTAGAATTACTGCAGGGATTTCCTGGTATTTGGTATTACAAGTTGAAAAACGTCCCATGGCTAATGTTTCTCACGTTATATCTCCATTTTAGAGCTCAACCTCTCACATTGACGTAGAGCTACCTGGATTTTAACTAAAATATTTCTCATGGCTAATTCTTCTGTCTTCTCCTCTCCAGCATTCAGCGGGCGGCTCTGGCCATCATAGAACACTACTACTGTGACTTCCCAGTCCATAACCCTGCGTTGCTTTCCGCCTCCAAGTCCCGCGCTGCCAAGCACCTGGCCGGCCTCAAGGTTTACAATGTGGATGGTGAGTCCCCAGCAGCTCATGCTGAGGGTGAGTGGGATGCCTTTGAACTTCATGTGGTGTTTTCTGTGTTTTCTGTGTGTTCTGGTGCGGTGGCGTCTCTAAGGTCTGCTTTTCCTTCCTAATGCTAGTCTTTTGGGCAAAATACATGCTGGGGCCACACTGTAATTTTCACTCTGCATATTCATTGTAACACAAAGTTCATTGTAGTGTTACTTGATTTAATCAAGTCATTAATTAATTATTTTAATTATCGGCTATCTGTGTTGTGCTCTGGATTTTAAGCTTCCTCTATTTAGCCTGATTGTCTATGAAATGTCATAAAATAGTGAAAATGTCCCTTATAATTTCCCAGAGCTCAAGGTCATTGGTTTATCTAACCAATAGTCCAAAATCCCTACCTCTATTCAGTTTACTGTCACATATGACAGAGAAAATGACATTTGAGAAGATGAAATAGGACTGAGTGACAATCAATTATAGAAATAGTTTTTTCTGTTCATTGACTAATCATTTAATTGACTAATTGTTGTTTTGTGTATAATGCTTTAGCTCTATGTTTTACATTGCTTATTTAGAACATTAGCAGTCATGCATGTTTTAGCCCCATTAACTATAAGTGAACTACACTCACCTAAAGGATTATTAGGAACACCATACTAATACTGTGTTTGACCCCCTTTTGCCTTCAGAACTGCCTTAATTCTACGTGGCATTGATTCAACAAGGTGCTGAAAGCATTCTTTAGAAATGTTGGCCCATATTGATAGGATAGCATCTTGCAGTTGATGGAGATTTGTGGGATGCACATCCAGGACACGAAGCTCCCGTTCCACCACATCCCAAAGATGCTCTATTGGGTTGAGATCTGGTGACTGTGGGGGCCATTTTAGTACAGTGAACTCATTGTCATGTTCAAGAAACCAATTTGAAATGATTCGAGCTTTGTGACATGGTGCATTATCCTGTTGGAAGTAGCCATCAGAGGATGGGTACATGGTGGCCATAAAGGGATGGACATGGTCAGAAACAATGCTCAGGTAGGCCGTGGCATTTAAAACGATGCCCAGTTGGCACTAAGGGGCCTAAAGTGTGCCAAGAAAACATCCTCCACACCATTACACCACCACCACCAGCCTGCACAGTGGTAACAAGGCATGATGGATCCATGTTCTCATTCTGTTTACGCCAAATTCTGACTCTACCATCTGAATGTCTCAACAGAAATCGAGACTCATCAGACCAGAAAACATTTTTCCAGTCTTCAACTGTCCAATTTTGTTGAGCTCTTGCAAATTGTAGCCTCTTTTTCCTATTTGTAGTGGAGATGAGTGGTACCCGGTGGGGTCTTCTGCTGTTGTGGCCCATCCGCCTCAAGGTTGTGCGTGTTGTGGCTTCACAAATGCTTTGCCGCATACCTCGGTTGTAACGAGTGGTTATTTCAGTCAAAGTTGCTCTTCTATCAGCTTGAATCAGTCGGCCCATTCTCCTCTGACCTCTAGCATCAACAAGGCATTTTTGCCCACAGGACTGCCGCATACTGGATGTTTTTCCCTTTTCACACCATTCTTTGTAAACCCTAGAAATGGTTGTGCGTGAAAATCCCAGTAACTGAGCAGATTGTGAAATACTCAGAGTGGCCCGTCTGGCACCAACAACCATGCCACGCTCAAAATTGCTTAAATCACCTTTCTTTCCCATTCTGACATTCAGTTTGGAGTTCAGGAGATTGTCTTGACCAGGACCACACCCCTAAATGCATTGAAGCAACTGCCATGTGATTGGTTGATTAGATATTTGCATTAATGAGAAATTGAACAGGTGTTCCTAATAATCCTTTAGGTGAGTGTATATTCACTTATTCTTAGGGGTAGAAGAATTTTTTTGATTGATTAATCTGTTGATAATTTTTTTAACTAATGGATTCATTGTTTGGTCTTTCCAAGTTCACATATTCAAAATGCTTGACCAACAGTTAAAACCCAGAGATATCAGTGTATCATGGATGGCAAATATTCACATTTGAGAAGATGGAACCTGTTAGCAACTGCATTAGCACGAAACAATAATTCAACTTTTCTGAGTTGCTCCCTGTGACAGATTAGCTATCTAAAACACATTTCAAGTCTCTGCAAGTTCACTTCCATACTCTACTGGAATGTGCTGAAACAAATGGCTGCCTCGAAGGAAGGAAATTGATCTGCAAACGTATCATAATTGGAAAATTGTCGACAGTCAGATAAAGCATAGGTGATTTGTAGATAATGTGCTACAACATGCTAAAATACAAGTGTGGTTATTGGATATCTGCCTCAACACACACTCTGGGACATTTTGAATGATATTTGAGCAACTGCTGTTGACTTTCTCCTCTTCTTATGTGTCTCTTTACACCAACGCTAACCCTTTAAGAAGTCTTTCGGGCTAAACTGAAAGCCTACCTTTTGGATAGTAAGTAAAAGCAATTCCACTACCAATTAAAGCACCCTCACAGACTGCTGGTGTTCACTTTATAAAGGCTATTCTTAAATCTCTATCCCATCTAAGAAGTCCTTGAAGCTAAACGAAAGCCTCCTTTTCACACAAAGTAATGTCACTGAGTAAAACACTGTGGATCCACTCACTGTTCTTTGCTCGCTGCATGCCACAGGTTGATGAAAGAGTTCAAAGTCGTCCTTACAACAGCTGCCAGAACGTAACACAAACCCTCTATTAAGTTATTACTCTCCCTTAAGTGTACTCAAGCTTCATTTAAGTGTACTAACTTGACTCCCTCTTCATTTTTCCTTCTCTTCTGCTGCTTGTCTCCCTCCTTTCTTCTGCCTCCTCTCAAATGTTAGTGGGAGACAGTCACAGAGATGGCTGATAAATCAATAGCTATTATGCTGCCGGTCTTGTCATTTCTCTCTCGTGTCTCATCCTCCTTCATTTTCATCCTGCAGCAGCTGCTCAGGGACCTCTCTGTCTCTCTCTCTCTCTCTCTCTCTCCTTCTTGTCTGGAGCTTTTACTTCCCACTCCTCTTCTTTCTGCAGCCGCACCGACATTGTAATAAATAAGTCGAACTCAGGGACAGACAATAATCTTTCCTTGATTAAAGAGTGTTGAAGCCCTTGGCGCAAAGCGGCCGTAACACTCAATTACACTGCATCCAAATGGGTTCAGATGATTTTATGATGCCTGACACGCTATTTGGCCCCCAATCTTGTTTTCTCAGCTCTAGAAATTGGGAATTGGAAATGAATCCCAGCGGATAAAAGTTGGTATTTGCAAAGAAATCCTCCAAAATATAGAAGATTTAAATAGAAATCAAACAAAGGACAATTCTTTAGTGTGTTGTTTTTAATAACTAAATGAATTGTTTTTCATTGTGCATGAAATTTACATGGCACATTAAAATCAAATCACAACACATATTTGATTGTGACACTGATAATGCATACATAAAAAGGGAATACATATAACAATCTGTATTGTATTCAGAGGTTCCAAGTTACATTTACTCCATTATTGTATTATTATAACTAACTTTTGTGAGTAAACTGTACTTTTTGAAATAGTTTGCTATTACTTGTTACTCCACATTACACTATTTATTTATTATTTTTTGCATTTATGCACATTATGTTAAGAAGCTGGTCTACTGATCCCACGTCTACTGGCGGGACTTGGGACATTTACACTGGAATGATCAAAGATTAAGGACACTGTAGCATGTTGAGTATCTTTATAGTTGCTTTGTGACATAATAGACGTGGTCCATGTATATCTGATTTGCTGATTTGCCAGATCATAACAAAATATAGAAGACAATAAGCAAAGACTGTCATTTGAATATGTTATTACTTATTGATGCACTAAATCGAGTGTAATATTAAAGGTGGAGTACACGATTCACGACACATAGAGTAATGTAACTAACGTAATCTAAGTTTACTTACGTCTGACAGCCAACACCTGGGTTTCAGCATAACATTTCTCACCCAGAAATCCCATCTAAGTGCAGTAATACCAAGAGCAGGGTGTGTTGGAAACTCCCTCCTCTCCGTCCATGAATTATTCTGTTCATGCACGATCCCTGCCTTGCATTAATAATTCACCAGCTCTGCCCTCTTTTAACCTGCATTAACGTCGGGCAGGGTTCATCAGCAGCCTCCTAGCCTAAATCCAAAAATGCTAACTTTTGAAGTTGCCCGAGACACGACTTTAATTGGACGCGCTGTGCCTCCTGAACACTTCAAGTGGCAGAGTAAAGGGAATGTTTGAATATCAATAGCCATATGTGGGTGAGCAGTGTGTTTAGATTTTACAACGATTATAGTGCTCAGAACAACCAAAAATTACAACTTTGTGTGGCTTCTTCTCAGCTCCTGTGGTTTTTAATATTGCTGGTGATAAAAGGAAATGGGCCGAGCTTTCTGTGCCTTATCAATCCACCCCTCCACTCTGAAAGCAAATTGCACTTGATGTCATCACCAAGGATTTCTTTGCTCTTTTACCTCCGTCTCTAAGGATTTGTGGCACTTTACCTACAAGATTAAGAGAGAGACGTACATAACCACTCCTGTTTTATCGGTTTGTCACGACAGGTCCGGGGAACAATGCAGCAGCCGGACTTGCCCACTCCCAGTCCAGAGCCATGATTGCAGCAGCTGCCCGCCGCAGAGACACCAGCCACAACGAGCTGTACTACGAGGACGCTGAGCACGAGAGGCGTGTTCGCAAACGCAGAGCAAGGTAATCAGTGCGGTGACTCTAAAATAGTTTCAAGCATCTGTGGAGGAATATTTCAAGGAGTCTAGGACAAGTATTACCCCATATAACAATAGGAAATACCTACAAAACTTTGCATCTTTAGTGCCATAATATTCCAGTCAGGAGTCCTTCCTCCTAACAGCTCTGAGTGAAACTCTGTAACTGGTTGTCTAAGTTTTGTAGAGGGTGTTTTTCATGGCTGGGTTCTCCTTCTGGCTGCCGCTAACAGCACTGCGAGGAGCGAGGAGGAGTGGACTGTAGCAGTCACAGGTGGTTTTCATCCACCACTCTAACTCTTTCTCTCTATGCTAAGGCTGTTTTAAGATGAAGAATATGGTTCTAATATACCAAAGAAAACTGAATAGATTAATTCAGGTGTTTACTTGAAACAGAAAAGTTTGCTTAAAGCAGCTATAACCAGTAGCTCTATGGAGTGTTTTAGCATCTTTTCAGCTCATTGTTTTGGTTTTAGTGTACCTCAGATGGGACTTTGTATTTCAAATGTCTTGGTTGTTTCTTGGCTGGGCTACATTGTTATTTTTGGTGGGGCCCATCCAGCCCCACCCTAACTTATGAACTAGGAAGAATGTCTCGCTAAAAGCTGGAAGGTGATGTAAAAACTCGATTGCTCCATCATTAGGCACTAACCCAAGCTTTGTTTCCTACCAGACTGGTGGTGGCAGTCGAGGAGGCGTTCACACACATCAAGCGCATGCAGGAAGAGGAGCAGAAGAAGGCGCCAGGGGACGTGATGGATCCACGAGAGGCAGCACAAGCCATCTTCCCATCCATGGCTCGTGCCCTGCAGAAGTACCTGAGGACCACTAAGCAGCAGCACTGCCACAGCATGGAGAGCATCCAGCAGCACCTGGCCTTCTGCATCACCAACAACATGACGCCCAAGGTCAGACCTCTGACGCTAACGCATGTTTGTAGTCAGGATATTTTTTGAGGGGTTTTCATTTGGCTGTAGATTTATTTACTTTTTTTTTTACTTTATTGCCATTAACATTACAAAACAAAAGCTTCACATGATTTGATTTCATTATTACTATGTGAGCTAAATTCTAACATAATCCACCCCTCACCCCCCTCCAGGCGTTCCTGGAGAGCTACCTGACCCCAAGGTCCCACCCTGCAGTACAGCCGGGACCACTGGCTGGCCCGTCAGTGGACGCTGATAAGCGAAGCGTCGGTCACCAGCGGACTGAAAGACGGCTCAGTCTTTGTGCTCAAGTGTGTGGACTTCAGCCTGGTGGTGACGTCAAAGAAGATCCCTTACATCCAGATGTCGGAGGAATACATCGACCCCAAGTCACACAAGTTTGTCCTGCGGCTACAGTCTGAAACCTCCGTGTAGGACACTACACTTTTGTTGTTTGTTTTTGTTTTTTTTTATTTCTCACCCTGTTTCGTTGCTCTCAAGTGTTTTCATTTTGGGCTTGCAGTTTTTGTTTTTACTTTTTTGGAATTTTTATATATTATATATGAATCTATATAAATTACACACGTTTAAATATATTGATCATTTTCTGTTTAAATTGGATGAAAACAAAAGAAAAAATTGAGGCCAGATTTTGTTCACGGCAGTTTGACTCAGTCGCCTCGAACATGTGTGTGTGTGTGTATGTGTGTGTGTCTGTGCGCGCGCGCGCGTGTGTGTGTCTGTGTGCATGCGAATGTGTAATTTTGTGTCAAAACAATCACTGGTTCCTTTTCTGTTTGAAATGCTGTAGCCAAACAAGATGGGACCATTTGATGTTTCTGACATCCCCTGAGAGACTCAATCACTCCTTTATTTCCATGGGACAGGAAGACAGAGAGATAAACCACTAAGGACTTCCACGGTGTGACTCTGGATTTTGATAATTGAAGCCTGATGTCAACACATGACAAATAGCCTTTATGTGTTGCTGTCTCGTCTACAACATTTCAATGTATTTTGACGACTTTTGGACGTCAGCAAACAAAGAAATGGGTTTCTTTCCCTCGAAAACCAAATTAAATGCATTTGACGAAAAGATGAAACTAAACTTCAGTCAGACTTTGCATTCAGTGCACATTTAAAAGAATATGCCTGAAAAGGATGGAACGTATGATCTCGGCCTGCTCACAAACGATGTCGGACTGTTTTCTTCTCGCCACAACCTCCACATCACTTCTTCAGGACCTCCGTAGAGCTCCAGACAAACGCTTTTCTTGACAGTCGAGATGTCAAACTCCAGTCCGCCTCATGTCCAGCTTAAGGCGTACAGTAACCTTGTTGAGTGCTAATTCCAGCATCCAAATTGAGCGCTCTTTGAACTCTTCTGGTGCACGACTCTTCTCCAGGCTCAATGAAGCAAAATCTGTAATATTTCCACTCCAGTTGGGAACAACACACACACGCTACGTTAAACACCGGGGTGAACTCAGAATGAACCGGATCATAAGGTGGATACATGCCCAAAAACATTTGCCCTGCCTCATCGGTTCAGTAACCTTCTCAGGGCTTTCATGTCTGCCTGACATGATGGAAAGGGAAGGCAGCGAGGAGGAGAGACACGAGATAAAAAGTACTACTGATTACTCATAACCAGAATTCCCCCTTTGTTACATAGCAGAAAATCTAAATAATATGTAAATTCTCAAATAAAAGCCAGTATTCAAATAAGCACGGCCAGAATTAACAAATAAAGGTTTGTCGCTAGTAAAGAAAAAAAGGAGGGTGGAATTACCTGCAGCTCCCTTGGTAAATTTAATACACTGTTAATTTCCACATCAATAATTACATCAGTACAACAATCTGCTGCTCTGAGTTTCTATTTTTAGAGAAACAGAAATAATGGTTTCATGCTCTGTTAAGCTACCGTCAACAAAAACACTTCCTCATGTTTTTCATATTAAAAGTCTACCTCTAAAAAGAAAGCTGCAAGACTTTTATTTTGGCATTTCATTTTTGCCTTTTAATCAACAGTCAACAGTGTAGAGGACAGGAAACACGGGGAGGAAGGTTAAATATGATACACAACAAAGGTCCTGTTCTGGAAAATTCTGGAGGAAGTTTTGAGATTTATTAATGGCTGCTTAACTTCGTTTAGGGGGAAAGCCAAAGTAGCACACCTGAAGAGAGTCTTGCTGTACAGATAGATTTAGTGCTTTGGAAAAAAACATCAATCTGAATTTATCAAGACAACAGAGCAAATGGTTTTCTCTGCCACCAACCTAAATAAAGGCCACTATTGGAGAATTCACAATATTAAAGTATGATTTAATCTTTCAGGGCTCAGTGGGTTTTCTTGTATCACCAGAATACGTAATAGATGTATCAAGTCAATAGTGAGAGCTGCAGCAGGGTGGAACCTCCTTCCCAACTGGACCGTCTGGTTTTCTTTTACTACCTTGTCTCACCTCTGTTGTCTGACAAACATGCTCACAGTGAATCCCTTGAGGTCTGCCACTTCAATGGAAGACGCAGAAGGGATTTTTCTCATTCTTTCTCTCAGCCAATGTATCAGTTTATCTTGTAAAGTCAAAGAAATACAGTTAAATTAAGCTAATGTAACTTTTAGATTCTGTCAACGCTCAGTTACTACTACTGTCCCTGTCATAACTGATCCAGTAAATTTACCAAAGTTGTAAAAAGAGGATCACACTACGCTCCGTATAACTCGCTCGAGAAGAAAAATATGCTGTACTAAAAATGGCTATGAGCAGGGTTGTCCTCTACTGCCCCCTGGCTGGTAAACCTAATATTTTCAGTTTGTCTGCCTGAGGGCAGCAGCAACATGTTTCCATATGAATAAAGATACTGGTTATTTTAGCAAAAACAGTATTTCACTGTAAACCTTTCACTATTAAACCACCTGGAAAGCACTCATAAAAACATGTTTGCTGTTTCCTGCGTAATGCATTAACGGCAAATATCTTTTTTTAAACGCCTGGTCACATTTTGTACCTATTGACAAATGAACTTTGTATGATCCCAATGTGACTGTGCCTCCTGTTTTTACACTGTATCTATTTATGTAAACAAGCATGTGTGTATGTAAGTATGTATGTATGCCATTCCAGTTCACATGACCAGCCTTTGCCCCTGTCCTCTACATCACCACCATCCGTCACGCTGCTGCCAGGTTACATTCTTTCTTTCATGGTTTGGTTTTTGTTGGACAGCTTTATGATGATGACGTGACATTGCAACGTAAGACATGTTTCAGTTTTGCAGCATTAGCATTTACAAAAAAATAAACATTTTTATGAACATTTGTAAAACTGCTGTATGGGATTGTATTGTGTAGTAAAGGACCCCGATTCTTCTCCAAAAGGTCATTTTTGTTTCATCCGTTTTATTAGAACCAGTTTTATAACAGTTTTTCTGAGCACAAATCTGCTCTACGGGTTTAAATTGTGTCCAGATGTCAAATTTACATATTGGGTATTTAGTGGGAACTTTATTGAATGTGGAGGACGTAATCCGCTATACTGCTCACGTCAGCTGCAGATGAAAATGTCACCTTGGATATTCCTACCATATGAAAACAATTGAGTTTGAGGCCCTGTTTTGTGATTTACTGCTTTTCTACTTTTTTTGATTTCCTACATATACCAGAACTTCAGTTAAAGATGGCTGTTTGGCATATGAATAGCTACCAGACTTAGTTGTGAAAATGAGGTCTGTATGTTTAATGGCTGCATTGCATTCTGGTCTATTGAGGCTTTTTTTGTGCCTTTTTGTTTGAGGTTTCTCTGCTGACTGGGCAAAATGGTCATTTCAGAAAGAAGCCCTTATTACACACTGTGTAATTATGCAATGAAATTATTTTTTTTAACATGATGTTAAGGGTATAATAATGGTTCAAATAATGGACTGTTATATATTTTTTATTGATTATATTCTAAGGTTTTATATTTACTTTTATTGATTAATGGTTTAAGGGGTTCAAAACGCCTTAAAATTAACCAAAATGTATATCTGTTGAAGTGCCTTGAAACCTCTTTAACTGTGCATATAATCCATCAAAAATATCATGCCATGTGATAATCTCTATTAATTGCTTTCGGGTAAACACCTGAATGAGCACCTGAATTGAAAAATGGACGGGGTACATATAACATGATTTTGTAAATGTAGGTGCAGAAAATTAGTTGTTTAAGGTATAATGAACAAATGAATTTAACCATTAATTAACACCATATTTAAGATGTAATTGCTTGAATACTGATTGGAACACAAACCCTTTAAAAAAACAGTTAACCAGAGGTTTACATTGAGGTCCTAATGATCCCAAATTACTTCTTTAAATAAAACATGAAATAAATCCAAATACTGATACTACTAAGGAACAGCCCAAAGAAAATGACTCATCCCAAGTAACTCAAGCTCTTATTTTCATAAATTATCTCATGTCCACAGCCGTGTCAGCCAAGAACACCAGTGAACACAAATAACTGGAAAACAACCTAGTTTTCGTGTTATCACAAGAAAATTACACTTTTTATTGATTAAGGAGATGATGAACTTGTGACCTCGACAAAAAAGTAAAATTACATGACCACCGCTGTTCTCGGCTTCCGTAGATATCAATGATGTTTACCATTGATGATTTAGAGTTGTTCAGTTTCCCTGCGACTAAACTATAAACGCCTGTCATACTGTGTAGCTAAGGTGTGGTAATCTCAGCATGCAAAGCATTTTATAGAGGATTGTTCCTTAAAATTCTCTATTGCAGTGTCTTTAATTTCGTCCCATTCCACCACACTTACTCTTCAGCATTTCCATATGCACTAGTTTCTTGCCCCAGCTGCAGGCTTGCTAACACTCTCCTCTGTCCCTGCCCATTAGGCATCAGGCCGTGTGACGTGCCGGAGCAAAATTCCAGCTTTTTGGGGCCTTATTTTGGTGGCTTTTTGTTGTCATGGAGCTCAATGGTAATTGGCTTGCCATCAGCCTGTCAGTGGTGCAGCCGGGCCTTGTGGGTAAATGAATGTCAGTGTCAGTGTCCGGTGCTGAAAACAAACAACCTCATCCTTCCGTGAGCCCAGGGCGCGAGGCCGCCTGTCGGAACTCATCTGTCCTCGGCTTAATTCCCCTCCCATACCCGCCTGCTCTGTGCAGGACCGGGACAAGGAGAGGGATGGATAGAGAGGAAAATGAGGAGCATTTGCATCTAAATGGAAAGTTTTTCTTCCCTTCATCCCTCCCTCTCTATTTGTTTGGTAATGACTTGGTTATGTTTGGATCGAGGCATGAGAGAAAATCCTTCTATCTTCTAGTGGCTTCAGTTTTGAACAGAAATCTACAACTTAATACACCTTACTCCTGTCTTTTCTTTGTTCTTTGCTGTTTTATATTGAATCTGTTAGACCCTCACACCCACTATATGTTGCTCGTCATCCTTCCTCTCTTGGGAGTAAGGAGGTGTGTGTGTATGTGTGACATGGAGAATCAGTCCTCTTGCCCTCGTTTTACTCAACGTTCATGTAAAACACCATCACACCTGACATTCACAGGATTATGTAACCTGAGGGCCCTTGAGAACATCACAACACTTGCACCATGACACCATCAGCTCCTTATTCCTCAGGAGAGTGTGCGACATCTTCTTCTTGCTTCGGGTCACGTTTAAATGCGCACACACACGCACACACAAACACACACACACACAGCTGATCGTTTTCATCTGTCAGCTATGGCATGGTTTATGTGTAAATCCCACACCATGATACAAACATCCTGTTTACACACTGCATCATACCCACCTCCAGGGGAATAATAGTTCTTGCTTGGCTCTGTATTATTAATTCATGTCCAGCGGTGTGGGTTCAGCAGGAGTGTGTCTGCTCCATATGCAGGATGTTGGGCCCCGGAGGGCAGCCTTTTAGTCTGTTTCACCCCAACTCCCGCACCCCAGACTTCCTCCAGCCCCACTGTCCAGGTCCCTTCTCCCATTAGGAGGCAGAATGATGCTGAATTATTCACTGATGTTTGAATAATTCAAGGTGAAAAAGCTCATTGACTGAAGGAGAAAATGTGCCAGTCTGCTGTCTTAAGCATCAGTCTGGACCTTCTTATGAGGGAGAGTAGTGTGTGTTCTCACACCATAAAGACAGCACAGGTGATTCACATGTAGTCATTTACTTTTATTAACACTGTTTTACATCATGAAAACTTTCTCCACAAAAGTGCTTTATTTACCTTTCTGTGCTGCTCTTTTAATTCAGGTTTAATCTATTAACATTTAATATACATTAATCACAAGAAAACAATTCAAGCACTAGAAGAACATAAATATTGTCATTTAGTTTCACATATATATACACACAGAATTATCATCTATTAATTTTTCTATCAACATATTTGTAATGTTATAGATTGATCGGTCACGAAAAACTCAAAATCAGACTCTACAGTTCCCCTCATGTGTTTTAGCATCTTCCAGCTCATTGTTTTGGTTTGTTCAGGTTAGTCATCGCTGTCATCTTCCTCATCTTGGTCCTGACTTTCATAGCTGTCCTCTGTGACGTAGCTGTCAGGGTTGTCCCGGTCATCAGCAGACTCGTCATCGTCCTCCGTGTTCACCCTCCCTGACAGGACGTCCTCTATCCAGTCCTCAAGGTCCTCTGCAGTGGGCAGGTCCTCGTCGTTGGACATGTCCAGCCACACGCTGTCCGCCTAGAACACAAAGAAAGTTAAGGTAAGGGTTAACACTTCACTTTGATGCAGTCTAGAATTGTAACCATTACTTACATCTGTGACGTTTACCACACCAATCTGAGGTCTAAACAGGTCCAACTTGAAGGTTATTTCCCAGTAAGTGGTCAGCTGCAGGGGCAAGACAAGCCAGGTTAACATAGACAGATCAGTGACCTACATTTGACAGGAATATGGTTGTTGTTGTTACTAGTTTGTGTAAATATTGTTTCTCAAACGTATTTAGAGAAATATTTAGAGTTAGAAATGGTAAGCTAATGATGAGGCAGAACCAGAGGGAAATCATCAGGGTCGATCCAGACGATGCTGAGCTCTGGGTTGTTGGTGTTGTCTCTGGCCACGTCTTTGAGGATCTCCAGGAATTCATAGCCATCTGGGGACAACAGAAGAACCTTCAGCTTTAGTTGGCTTACCTTCAAATAAGAGCAAATAAGAAGGGAAACAACTGTGAAACCAAAAGAGAAAAGGCACACACCTGGATCTTCCTCCTCAGCAAACGCAACGATATGTATTCCATCCATGTCGTCCTCCTGGAAATTTAAAAAAGTTTACAACAAAGACTGGTTTACAATCCAACTTAAATCCATTTTTATATTATTCTGCATAGGTTTGATTCACTACATAGGTTAAGTTAATTCTACATATACAACATATAACCATACACTGTATGATATCTGTATATCATCCTGATGTGGCTCCTCAAATCAGGTTAAAACAATTCTATGAAAATGTATACAATATAGTTTGTGGGGCCAAATCGGTCAGCTTTGTTAAGACCGAACAACTACTCACCCAAGTTTCAAACATATTCTCTGCCCGGAGCTTCCTCAGAGTAGCCCTGTAAAAAGCACACTTTCATAAAATGTGTACCCATGTTTTAATAGCGCTGAAATAACCTATAAAACATATAAAATTAAATCAACCTTCTGTGTTGGTTCACAAACTCGACAATGTCCATCTCTGACAGAGGTCTGCCGGGCAGAATGGCCGGCTCCTCCATGAACGGCTCATAAAAATTCACCTCGTTCATCTTGAGGGAGAGATGTTTGGCTACCTAAAACATACAACATGCCAGGATTTCATTCTGATTAGTGGATGGAGGATATAATTATGGGGTTTTGTCTAATAAGCGGATGAATCTAAGTAAACAGAAAAATTGAAGGGTTTCAATGAAAAAATAATTTTGATTCTAAAGTTCTTACAACTTTGTGTAATGCTTCACTCCTCTCCCAAGTGTGTTCAAACTTGAACTTGAAAATAACACCTTTTCCGCCAGATCATCATTTCATTGTGTTACTATTCAAAAGATAAAATTTTCTTGGGAAACAGGCTTATTTGCTTTCTTTAGCTGAGTGAAAAGAAAAGAAACTCTCATGTATGAAACTACCAGTAGCTTAGTTTAGCATAAAGACTAGAAATGGGGGGAACCTGATAACCTGACATTATCTGAAGGTAACAAAATCACCCTACTAGCACCTCTAAAGCTCGCTAATTAACAAGTCTGGTACAACCCCTCATTAAAACACAACCTGATGTTTTTACACTTGGGGAAATAAATAAGAGAAAACGTGATGATCTAACAGCTTTGGAGGTGCTAGGTGGATTTTGTAGCATTTAGACAGAGCCATACTAACTATTTCCCAGTTTCCAGTCTGTATGCTAAGCTAAACTAACCAGCAGCTAGCAATAGCTTCATAGATCTTCGCATCTAATGCTCAGCAAGAAAGAGAATAGTGGATTTTTCTACCTTTAAAGAGTGTATTAACAAGCCACGTGTATGTGTGAGGAATCAAAAGTGGGTTTTTAAGCAATATATGATCATTTGATTCCTTAGATAGTAATGCAGATTAAGATTTAATTTTGTACATCAAGACTTACAGATTTATCAAATGTAGCAAAGAACTTGATGTAAGGTTGAAATCGCTCTGAGGCCTCCTGAAAAGCTTTGTAGTCTAAGAAAAAAGGGAGACAGAGAGAGAGACTGATGAGGAACTCAAGAGAGAATGACAGAAACCTAAGTAAGTAGGACTAAGTAAAACAGATTTAAGTGTTGATCTTCATCATTCACATTCTGCTCACATTCCCAGCCAAATCTACAGTATGTGTGATCGGGAAGGCAAGCAGTGAACACCACTCGCTTCATTCAATTTCCCATCATGATTGTACTGTCTTCACCCAAGTAACAAAGTCTCCCTTAATACAGTTTTATACGCTTGTAACGCGCCCCTGGCTCGGCTCCCAACAAGGTCACAACCAAGGACCAACCTATCTCTGGATAGAAATAGGCTCCATAATGAAACTTCATGCCACTGTCATATCAGACCAGATAGCATTTTCCCTGTCTCACTTTTTCTCCCTTTTTTTTGTGAGAGGAACTATAATTGCAGTTTGACCTATTAGACAGAGAGCTAGAAGCTATTTAAAGGCTCTCTGGAGACCGAGCGAGAGTGTCACAGTCTGGAATCAGGTTTCCCTTTAGCAGTTAGTTAGGCTACATGATGATGTCGCTCCATTAGCATCTAGATCCCATTTGCATCTGGGGAAAGCGATATGGCAACTTTAGGGGAAAGAGAAACCCTGTGGATGTATTTTTGAACCCATCACATGCTTCTTGTCTTTGTTAATGAAAGCACAAATGCATTAAAACACTTCACTTGGTCACATAGACACTATATGGCACATGAGTTTGGTGGTAAACTAACATGAATCTTCTCCTTTGAAGTAGCCAATGAGGCGTATGTCTTCCTCCATCCTCTCGAACGCTCGCAGCTCCATGGCATTATTGATCATTTCCACTGGGTCCTCCAGCACCTAGAGGGAGGTATAATACAAGTGGGGGATTTTCACATTTCAACAAACGCTGCAAAACGGCAAAAGATAGTTCAACTTTTTTGAAAATCAGCTTTCTTGCTGAAAGTTAAATGAGAAGATCAGTACCACTGTCATGTATCTGTTAAATATGAAGCTACAGCTAGCAGCCAGTTAGCTTGGTTTAGCATACAGACTGGAAGCACTGGGTGACATACTAGCTTTGCTCTGTCCGACGCTAACATAGCCTGCCTACCAGAGCTTCTAAAGCTCACTAAGTTAATTAACACGTCAAATCGTTTATTTAATCTGTACAAAAACCAAAGTGTGGTTTACAGGGAGTCATGTGCCAGATTATTTCTTAGCCATGAGCTTTTGTTTAGTTTCAGTGCAGAGAATCTTTGACTTGTATGAATTATGAGAAGAAATGAACAAAGCAGCACAGTTGAAGAAAGTACATTTAAACTTGGTTGGTGGATTTCTTTTTCAAACAGAGCCGGGCATTTTCCCCTTGCATCTACTCTTTTTGCTAAACTAAGCTTATCGGCTTCTATAGCCTTAGGTACTTATATTAAAAGCCTAGTCCCAATTAGACAACTGTCCCTTTTATTGGCCTGGTGTGGCTACATGCAAATAAACACAGGTTCCATTAGACGCCTGGTCTACTTTTGATAGAAGATCTTTAAAGCCTCGTAAAGCCTGTCAGGTCACCTGCTTGAGCGAGTTCTAAGCTGCTTAGATTGTGCAATACAAATATAAATGTTAATTTTTGTCATCGTAGATTCTCCACAATTCATTTGTTCAGTTCAATTCAGATTTATTGTTATGATAAAAACGAGACCTGCATTAATGAAACATTTTGAATTCTGCAGCTCTGATTCATGCCTCTAACTGGCTTCTTCTCCATAGCAAATGCAGCTGAGGCTCATGGGTACTGTGGTATTGTGAGTCAAAATGCCAGAATGACGGACAAAACCTGATTTATCAGAAACAAAGTAGAAATGATTCAAATGTATGTGCTCATTCCTGTGTTTCTGTGTTACGTCACAGTGAGGACACTGTTTAAAGAAAATATATATAAACTAGAAATGGACAAAAACACTTCTGTCGTACTACCACCATCCTACTTTGCAACCTATTCCTTTAAAAGAATTCATGTGAAAACGTCATAGATTATCACTTTAATAAGAAATACCCCCAGGGCAAAATGACATGAAAGCTACTGCTGAATCTTGGATTTCTATGAAATACATGATTTACAAGTATCCTAATGAGGCTGCAGCTGTTAATTGCTTGAGGATTTCTACTCTCAGTTCAGTAGCTGACAAGAGTACACATCTAAAAAGTACCAGAATCAGATTTTCCACTCACATCCAACAGAAACTCCACCAGTGTGTCTGCTGAGAGCTCGCCATCAAACTCAATGACACGGTCGTCCTTGAAGACATACAAGCTGCCCACCTCCTCCAGACCTAATTAAATAGCAGGAGTATAGTATAGAAAGCTAATTTGAGGGGTTCACATTCAGATAAAAGTAGCAAAGACACCGTTGTCATACAGTTTCAGTACGTTACAGGAAAAGAGTATATGGAGAAAGCAATGCCATGCAAAAAAGTGTGTATATATATATATTGGCACAGGAGTGATGAAAATAGGCTACTGATTTAGGATAAAATCTGAATTTAGACATTCAGCATGCTCAATAATGCTACTGATAATATGGGCTCATGTTATGGAGTCATACCCAGTTTTTTGGCTACTTTGACATCCTTCTGGGAGTCTACCATCCCAAACCCGATGTCTTTGTTCTCCAGGACCTGAGCTGTGAGCTGGATGTTCACACAGACAAATTTCAGACAGAACATCATTTCACACCTTAACTCTTTATCTGTAAAAACTGTGAGTCAGGCCAGAAATGTAGGTGATGTCTTAGATCTTAGTTTTAGCAGCCATATTGAATAAGTTTATCATCTAAAAAACAGGGACTTTGTGAGGGTTGTTTTAGCCGTGCTCTATGGCGATGTCGGCCTGTTGGTTGATCCACCACTTTGCTCCGGGCTGAAATATTTCAACAACTATTACATGGATTGCCATGCCATTTAGTACAAACATTCAAGTCCCCCTCTAGGATCACTTTGGTGAATCTCGGACTTTTCATCTAACGCCAGTACCTACACGTAAAACTTGACCAATGAGCCTAAGGCAGTGCTTTGTGTTTAGTGCTAATTTAGTGCTAACAATATACACTCTACTCTCATTTCCACAGATATAGTCAGAGAGACATATCTTAACACCTTTTTTTTTTTTTTACTGTATTTCTGTATATATATTCATCTATTTATTGATCAAATGTTAGCATGCTAACATGCTAAACTAATGTGGTAAACATCACATCTGCTTAACATTTGCATGTTAGCATATGTAGCTATAGCCTCACAGAGCCTCTAGCTGTAGGCTCATAGTGTTATCATGTTTTATTTCATGCCATTAGTAAAGCAGTTTGAACCATTACAACACTACATAGAGTACAGTCTAAACCTGCTCTATGTATAAAGTACCATGAGTACTTCTGTTATGAATTGGCGCTTTTTAAATAAAGTAATATTCAATTGAAATATATGGAATCTGCTATATGAATAAATTACCTTCCTTTTCATATTGATTTATGATGGCTAAATTAATTATGATATACAATTTATTCAGATATACTAATTATGACCAGGGATGTATAGCCACAATGTAGGACATCAAGGTAATTTCCTGACAAATACACATAAATTACACATGTTTTCTAAATGCCAATTTTGCTTTATTTTCTTGAAATTGTATTTTTCTGCTGAATATATTATACATATGCTGTAGTATGTGAAATATTTTATTTCAATTAGGCTACATAACGTTATTTTTTACTTCCACCAGAATTGTATTCCTCACAGTGCGGAGTGTGGCGTTTAGACCTTCTTTGGGCAGTGGTTTCCAACCTGGGACCTGGTGCGAAATGATAGGATAGGAAAGATGGTGAAACTTCTGCTACACAAAAAAAAAGCTTTTCAGACTTTTCAAAACTTAAGAACTTATGAAACGAGGGGCTCATAGTAGAAAGATAACATTTCCAGTAAATCATTTTTATCCTTGAAAAAGACTGACTGAAATCACCTTGTTCAGCTTTTAAATAGACTCCACAGATCAGCCTGGGATCAAAATACTTTCTACCAACATCCTCCCCTCTGCACTATGCATTTAGCTTGGCACTTCTATGTATTTGAGCTGGCATCCACAGCTGCTGCTGTCCTCGTCAATACATCTTTTCATTATTAAAGTGTGTGTGTTTGCTGAGAGCCCCCTGTGGAGTTTTCTTGTTAGAGGGAAGATGTGAGACTGCTTGCCTTTCCTTGCTTCAAGAAGGAAAACAGATTTAGAAATACCACTGAAGAGGAGAGACTTGGGTTCTGTTTCAAACAGAGCATGAAACATGACAGGAATGCAGAAGTGATAACTGAAAAGGTGGCTTTGTAAGAACAAATTCAAGGTGTGAAAAACACGGGCCCCTTTTTCTCATAAGCTTAGCTCATAAATAAGAAGGGAAGGGATGCCAAGCGAGTACATCCACTTATTTCTAGTTCACAGCCAGATAGCGAAGAGTTTTGGGAACAAGCTAAAATTAACAGAATGACCTAGAAACAATCCCTGGATACATATGAACCACAGGGGAGATCACATGATGGGATTAAAATCACTGCTCGCCAGTTAAGAGAGTGTGCAGGTAATACACTGACTCTGTCCGTCAAACTGTGATAAAGTGACAGCTATGAGTCCTGCTTCACTTCAATTGACGGTTAAGGAGACAGTGTACACATCAAGGAGACAGAGGGAGAATGAGGCATTCAGTGTCTGCTTTTTCAATCAGAGGGGATCACTGACTATGCAATGACATGTTATGACAGGTTAGAGTCAAATGAGCACAGCAGTGAGGCTGCGAGTCTAACCCAGGGGGATTTGAGCTGTAGCTTATTGAGACATTTTTATGTTTTAAGTGATCAGATATATCAGGGCCCTGTGTGTCATGACAGATACATCTCTAAACTCCGGCTCTCTTCTTTGATCAGTAATGACGTCTTCTTGGCAGGATGCAGGTGTTGCGTGTACCTGAAGAAGTCCATGGCAGTGTCACTGGAAAATTTAGGATATGTAGGGATGTAGAGAAGTGCCAATTTGTTGACTGACGATTAATGAGTTGTGGGACAGAAGAGTAATAGATAACAATTTTTTTAACTGGTAAATTGTTTATGCCATTCTGGCTTCAGTTTCTCCACTGTGAGTCTTTGCTGCTTTTCTCTGTTAATAATAATAATAATAATAATAATAATAATAATTTTCTGATAATTGTAAAACTTTTTTCAAATAGTATGTTAGCCTAGATCTGTGGATTGTAGACTGCTAATTGAACCAAACAAGGCATTTAAATATATCTTTTAAATCCCTTCTTATGACAAACTTTTATAGGAGAGCCTTTCCTGATTTTAGTTGATTTTAATTATTTATTAGTTTCTTCCTGCTTTTACCGCGTATCTGGTTATTTGTTTGATGTTTATGTACAACATTGTTTTGAAAAGTACCCTAAGAAAAAGATTATTAGTAATATTATATTTCTGTCTGGACCAAGTTGGTGGACCAACAGACCATCACTGCCAGCCACTAGCTTGGCTAAAAACGATGAACATTATCTTGTTCCAGCCTTTAAAATGCGAGGATGTTCTGCTTTTCTTTGCTTTTCATTGTAAATTATTGTGTTGGTCTGACAAAACAAGACATTTCAAGATGTCTGAAAGTTCCACTCTCTCTCTACTAACTCCTCCGGCTCCCCTCTCCCCATCCCCGTAGACCCCCTTTCTTACCTCTAGCACCAGCTCTGTCATCTGGAACCGCTTCTGCAGGCCCTTGTTGGCGGGCAGTGGTTCATGGTAGAACAGGCACAGCAGGTCGTATCTCTTCAGAGCTTTCTTGTAGTTGCGCTCGTTGATGTCCAGCACCCTGTCCTTCCCGTCAAAATTAGGGAACTCAAGACCTTCCTCAGCACTGCAAAGGAAAAACAGCCGAAGGCACATGCTGGATAGTAGAGATAGCCAAATTTGCTGCATTATTGTACAGTTGTGGAGGTGTTTGTGAGCTAGAATGAAGTTTTTAGAATCATCAAAGATGAAGAAAAATGAAGGCCCGACTTGAAGAGTGCAATAGATATCACTCAAATGTGATTAGCTAAGATTCATCTACAGATTTGACATCTCTAGCAAATATTTCACCACTGTTTTCCCTCTCTCTCTCTGCTTCAGTCTGTTGCTCTCCTCAGACATCTCTCCCTCTCCACCTGTCTTCTGTCTCCTCCTCTCTCCGTCACCCAGTCTTACTGCCCCAAATCTCCCAGGAGGGTCCCTTTCTTTCCTCCTTTACTCTCCCAGACTGAGAAACTCACTTTCAACTATCCATTTGCAGGACAATCATCCATGTGATAGTCATCATGCCCTTGAAATCCATTTAGAAATTAGAACGGAGCAGCTGTGGAGATTTTATCAGCCATTTAATCAGCAATGACGTTATCCATATCAAAGAAAAAGATACGGTATTTGCTATATGCATTCCAAAATTAAAAATTAAATATAATAAAAATTAAATCTCCTGCTATGAAATGATTGAAGGTTGAAATATTTAGAATCAGAATCAGAAAGAGCTTTATTGCCAGGTTGTTTTTGACACATACGAGGAATGTGCTAGACATAAACATACAGTTGACATAAATAGATTTGAAAATATATAAATATTGTAATTGTAGAATTATAGAACTTTAGAAAAGTAAAACAATGTATCAGCATATTTACATGTGCATTACTCTGGATTTGTGTTATGCAAACATATTACAAGGGGAGAGAATTTGTATTTATATAAATATTACATTGACAAAAATATAAATATGGCAATCAGGTAAAATGGACCAAATAAGGTTGGAGCTTTATAACACTCTTACAGCCAATCATAATTACTCATCTTGAACTGTTGCTACAAGACTAAAATACTAAAAAATAGTTTTGATTGGTCTGAGATTTCTATAGTGGGCAGGGCACAGCCTGCATGAAGTACATCAGAGAAATCATACTGTATGTAAAAAATGAGCTTGACATAGTAAATTTCACTCATCACTAATAAGGGTGATAAAGCAATTGTAAGTAACCTTACCAACAAAGTTAAATGTTTGTGAAAGATGTTTTGCCAGGCTCTTTCAAATAAAAATAGTTCAGATTTATAAAGAAACTTTTTTGGCTCCCTAAACCAGCGAGCTACATCCACACACAGGCTTAGTTTTTACTTTATGCACAAAACCAACACAAAGACAGCAATGTGCAGAAACACCCATACAACACAATCAGTTCATTTTTAAATGCATTTTTCAATGAGATAGTTGTTCAACTTTTTATTGCATGAAATGTATTTAAGATGTTGTTACTTTGTCACACCAAAGACAATTCTGTCACTTTCCTGCAAAAAATTTAGATGATTTCAGCTAAAATTACTGTGTTGTTGGCCCATTTTAACTGAACAGCTGAGGCACATGCTGATACTCAAACTTTCATAATTACAAAACAATTATACTTTGTCACATATTTTTTAACAAATAAATATTTAAGAGACCCATGTCAATTTATAACAATATTATTAGATCTCATGCATATCTTATTAGATCATTTACCTAAAAGTGGTCTATTTTAGCTGACTTCACCCTATATATATATATTAGTAGGACAGAATGTGAATGAAAAGGCAGATTTTGTAAGGATTATCTCTTTAATGCCAATTTGGGCTTGAATTTAACGGTAGCCTAACCTGCAAATGAATTACGTTGTGCGCATTACCGTAATGACTGTGTTCAGTCAGAACTAACAGATCACAGATCGCCGCTTTGTTTGTCCTCTTCAGACAAAGCTGGAGGATAGAGAGAAAATGGAGCGCGTTTGGCTGTGGAGGATTTTAATCATCCTGTTGCAAGTTTATGATTTGTGTTTGGTTTCTGCATCAGGTAATACACATTCAAACAAATGCGAGTCATGAAACCATTTTAAAAGCGGCAGTTAGTCTTTGCTACCTTTTTATTTCGCTGCATCTTCTTGAGGTAACTTTTGGTGTTGGAGGAGTCATTCATCACTTCACGAGCTAGCTAACGTTTACTAGCCTACGAGCTAACTGTTTGCTAACTTTAAGGTTTGTATGAAATGCAGTTTAAAGTTAGCACATTTGGGTAGTGTAAAATAAGATTAATATTAATTAAGGTGGTTATATTAATAGAGGCTGGGCGTGGTTTAGGCAATAAGTCTGCTAAAGCTAGTTAGCATTAACAAATGACACTCTTTGTTCAGACAGCTAAGGATATTTACATTATTTGAGTTATTCACCACAGAGTAACGTTATATTTTATGCTGCACTTGTCACTTGAAGTCAAAACGCAGGACATTAGAGCTCCTTGTTTGTTTGGGGATACTGATCTCTTTCTTTTCTAACAGTGACTGTGTCTTATTGGTAAATTATTCTGACACAGTTTGCTATTATTTGCAGGGAAAGGTTGGGAGACGATTAGAGAGAGGATTTCTGGCGCTATTAAAGGGTACACACCGTGCAACCCTGTCAACTGCAGCTGTCATCTAAAGTGGGTGTGATGCCAATGTGTCTTTGCTCTCAGTCATGTATTGTAACCCATCCGTTTCATGCTGCAATATTGTATTTAAGACTTCATTTTTTTTTAACATACTAATCAGGCAAATGGTTGCTGTTGCATTATCACTGTGCAGGTTTTATTTTTTAAAAGCATTAATTAGATAATGTGGACTTTATTTTTAACTCTTGATTTCTGTCTCAGTGTCTTGCAAAGTGACTTGCAGCCCTTTAAAGGGGGAATCTCTGAGGATGTCATGGCTGTGACTGTTCAAAGAGGGGTGGGCACTCACTACCAGATCATTGGACACAAGTTGTACAGAGATCACAACTGTATGTTTCCTGCCAGGTGAGGAGACAAGTACCTGATGTGATTGTCCTTACATACAGCTGTTTGTTCGCTCTGACTAAATCCATTTCTTGTTTTCAGGTGCAGCGGGGTGGAGCATTTCATCCTGGAGGTGATTGACAGATTACCTGACTTGGAGATGGTGGTAAATGTCAGAGATTACCCTCAAGTCCCCAACTGGGTGCAGCCAACCCTGCCTGTCTTCTCTTTTAGTAAGGTCAGACTCTAAGCATTCGTGTTGCACAGACTTAAAAACGCATGTGAACGTTTATTAAATGCATTAACTGGTTTTGACGTGTTTCATTTGCATAGACGGCAGACTACCACGACATCATGTACCCTGCATGGACGTTTTGGGAAGGTGGGCCTGCTGTGTGGCCCATATACCCCACAGGACTGGGAAGATGGGATCTGATGAGGGATGATCTTGAAAAGTAAGATTTAGCACATTAAGAAAAAAAGGAAATGACAAAACAAATATAGTTGAAATAAATGTCAGCCTTACGTATACATGTATTTACTTTTACTGCAATTATAAACCTGTAAATTTAATAATCAGTTGAAACAAACTAGAGCATTTGAGCACATACACCCACAATGCACACCTTCCATGCTCCATCTTCTCAGATGTGAGTTTTTGCAGGTTTTCTTTGTTTTCTCTGATACATTACATTTACTCATTTGGCAGATGCTTTTATCCAAAGCGACTTACATTTGAGGAACAACATACAAGCATCAACAGAGCATCAACTACAGATCTACAACTGACAATACATACTAGTAAGAGCAGCAATAAATACTAGCTCATAGTACATATCATAACAATGGAGTAAATACCTAGGGAAGGAAGTAAGAGTTAACAAAAAGTGCAATCAAAACAAAAATGTGTAATCAATACAAGATCATTGTAGGGGATAGAAGAAGAAGAGCACTGGACGTGCATGTTTGAGGTTAGGAGTTAGAGCAGTTATAAGAGGAAGAGTTTGAGAGGGACGCCCCTGCTCTGATGGCGTGTGGTAGCTCATTCCACCATCGTGCTGTCACAGATGATAGTAAATATCAGAATATCTTTTTTGGGCTGTTGGTCAAACAAAACAAGCAATTAGAAGGACTGTGGGAAAATGTGATGGCCATTTTTGTGATGTTTTTATAAATGGTTAAATCAATTAATGGATAAAATAATGGGCAGATGAATCGTTGATAGACGATACTTTTTAAATTAATATTTATGTAATGACATAAATCATGAATTGAGTATTTGCAAAATATGAAATTGATTAATGGAATACTTAATGGAATACTATAATGATGATGATGATGATGATAATAATAATAAAAAATAAATATATATATATATATATATAATAATATCTGTGGTATAATCACAATAATAAAATAATAATTTGCAGCCATAGCTTATGAGGTGTATAGTTTCAGTGCACCTTATACATACACTGTGTTGTGGCAGGTCTGCAGCACAGTGGCCATGGAAGAAGAAAGAGTCCAGAGGATTCTTCAGAGGATCCAGGTCAGTCCTGTGAATTTATTAGTTTGTGTGATTACGTGACATTATACGACAGTCCAAATGTTTTCATGTCAGATGTAGTTTTCCTGGGTAGTACTTCTTTACTCGACTATCCTCTTACCATAGTTGGCTGCAAAGTTCAGACTTATTACAAAAGGGACTATTTATTAGCCCTGTCAGCCAGCCACTATCAATCTGTCTCTACCTGAAAGCCCCAAATTCCCTCTGTGTTTAGTTTCTGAGCTGCCTTTTCTCATTCTTGTGCCTGTTTTGCTGATAGAACCAGTCCGGAGCGCGACCCTCTGATTCTTCTGTCCAGAGAAGCTGCAGAGCTGGTGGACGCAGAGTACACAAAAAACCAGGCCTGGAAGTCTGAGAGGGTCAGTCATACTGAAACCACACCAGACTCAAACACATTCAGAATGATTATAAGGCCCCTTTATTAGATATTATAGTAATTCTGTGCCTTTATTTCACCATTTCTTGTGTTATGATGAGTTGCAGTTTAAAGTCTCAGGACAACACACTAGATTGACTTTTTAATTTAGATTTTTCTTTTATGTTAACGGGGGGAAACAATCTGAAAGTCAATCTGTATTTTAAAAAGCCATGTTTTTTTTGTTCTGTTTTAGGACACACTAGGGAGACCCCCAGCCAAGGAAATCCCACTGGTCGATCACTGCAAATACAAGTAAGCTGGATTTTGGATGAAGGACAAAATGTGACTTTTAAGATGCACTCTTGTTAGACGGCAACAGCTTTACTGAATGCTCATTTGATTGTTTGGTGTAGTAATTTACATCACGTATCAGTTAAGTTTGTTAAACTGTCCCATCAGACTGGTGACACACATTTGACCAGTCCCTCCCTACCACTTGTCATTTCAGATATTTATTCAACTTCCGAGGCGTGGCAGCCAGCTTCCGTTTCAAACATCTCTTCCTCTGTGGATCCCTGGTGTTTCATGTGGGGGATGAATGGCAGGAGTTTTTTTACCCTGAGCTCAAGCCCTGGGTCCACTATATCCCAGTCAAGCAGGATCTGTCTGATGTCAGGTACCACAGCTGGTGTTATATCCCTGGTGTACATGTTTCTAAGTGTCACTAATTTTGTGAGGTTTACTGTATTTTTAAACCTGGGCCCTATTTTCACATATTTTAATGTTGTTGCTGGAAGACAACGCCGAAAACGTGAGTCAGAGTTGGAGAGAGGAGTTTGTTTTGTTGGAGTGATGTTTCTTGTTTAAAACAAAAGGTGTCACCTGGAGTCACTCGTAGGGATCCTTTCAATAATGCCACACACGTGGACAACACTCTGAGTTTGTTGCTGGCAAAAATAAGCACTTTTTGTGGTTATAATTTTTACGGGTGCAATTGCCCCCAAAGGAATACGTTGGTTTGCTGGCTGAAGCCATCTACTGCACAGATTCAGAAACTTTTTGTAGCTACTAGTGATTTCGGCCCAGGTTAAAAAAATACAGAAATTATCCTTTTAAGGTGTCAGTTTGGTTGTGTTGACCACTCACAGCTTTGACATTGTTGATCACAGCCTCAGATCTGATGTCGGGTTGTTTTATGTCCTCGTCTACGTCATTCATCACTAAATGAATTCATATTAGATGTTAAAAAACTAAATTAAATCTCTTTTTTTTTTTTTTGAGAGAGGCCATATGTTGTTTTTAACAAAGCATTAAAGATATGCTTATAATTTGGCTTAGCGTATCAAGAACTGTATAACTGTATTTACTAAGCCTGTTGCAAATTACCATCAGGGGCGGAACATTTCGCAATCTTTTGTACTAGACCTACGTATAAATGAGCTTAGTCAAAGTTCATCTCATTTGCATAAAAGCCCCTAAATATCATCTGAAGTTGCACTGTTTTCACAAATGCTCAATTTTGCTGCTGAAACTGGAGCTGAAGAGAAAATACCTTCGGGACGTGTATTCATTCCACAGAAAGAAGGCTGTATGTGAGGAAAAAAAGAGTTAAAAAGCCTGATATTATCAGCTCAACAAAGAGATCAGTGATTGAATATGTTATGAAATCACTGTTGGATGTCTTTGGTAGAACTTTTAAACTAATATTGCTAGCTTATTGCTATGAATTAATAAAAATCAACTAACTGACTACTGAAAGTATCACTGGCTGCTTCAATCTGGAGCTGCTGTGAGCCATTAAAGTCAGGAAAAATACAAAACATATTCAGGCAGGGGGAAGGTCATGGTGGAAAGTAACAGGCTGTTGCTGACTCTGTGCAAACTGTGCAACAAAAGCAGGTGTAAAATCATTTTACACCTGCTTTTGTTAGTCATTTCATTTCAGACACAGTTTCCACTGTCACAGTGGTGAGTCAGCAGTGATGAATCAGGCGGAGCCCCCGTGTTTTGTAACTCTATAAAGGAACTCCTTAAAATACATATTACAAGACCAAACATGCCAGTTTGGGTCGATTTTACAGCCACAAAACCTCGGTGCAGTTTTAGTAAATACTGAGAAATTCAATTAGACTGTTTAGATTCTAAAAATCCTCCCTTACTGTTGGAAGTTCCTGTAGTTTACGAGCGACAACTGGCTGTTTAGAAGAACAAATACAAACAAAACAAGGATAAAATCTACCCTCATTTATTTACAAAGAAAAGTCATACTTTTATAGTCTTGTGAATGTATGTCAGCATCACACAAGTACACTGTGAAGGTGTTACAGTAGCAGAAACCTGAGAAGTTTCATGTTTGAAGTCACACGCCCGTGTGCTGAATGTGCAGGTCAGTACTTGAATGACTGGAATCTATACTGAAGGCACTTTTCATTCAGGTGTGTGAATGTTTTCAGTGTGTAAATTCTAATATGCCTTGGTCTAAAATCTCCTTTGCATGTATGCCTTGACATGTTCTGTCTCCTCAGGGAACTACTACAGTTTGTCAAAGAGAATGATGCCGTTGCACAGGAGATCGCCACAAGGTAACGGATCATATTTTATGATTTCATTTTAAATGAACTGTAGCAGCCTTGTACTTGAAGTTACACATTTATGTTGTCAGTCTGACTTTCTGTTTCCGCCCGTCCCCACAGGGGTAAGGATTTCATCCTCGACCACCTGCGGATGCAAGATATTTCCTGCTACTGGGAGAGATTGCTCACCGAGTTTAGCAGTCTCCTCACCTACAAACCCAAAAGAAGGGAGAACTACAACCAGATTGTCCATAGACCCAGCAAGACAGAGCTTTAGGAGCGACACTCTGCAGGACCAGGACATCGGTAGTAAAGGGAAACGCTACGTAATGAATGTAATCACTAAACTGCAACATATGATTTCCTCACAACAAGCAATGTTACATATCGATGTTGCCGTTTGTCAAAGTCACGCCACCGTTCGTTTTTCTAATCTAAAGTCCAAAACTTTGTCCAGATACTTTTCACATTACGTCTATTGAGTTTAAGTCTTAAAGTGGAGCGCGGTTACAGGAGTTAGTAACTAGGCACATAGCTTAGTATTACACAGTCATAGATGTAGTTTGGTATCTTGACTGTGGATGCTGCCAAACCTTCAGCTGTCACTAAGGGGGCATATATGCCAATTTGGAGTCATTGATCACTTTCTGGTTCAATTAGTTTATTTGCTTCTTAAAATTCTCCCCCTTTTCATGGCTGCTGTCTGTCACCAGCCAAGTAACATCTACGTGAGCTGTGTTTTTAGACCCTGGTGATGTCATGTGATGTAATCAGGTCTTGCAACGTCACATCTGGACCACTTGCAAAAAAGCTGCTGAAAAATTAAACATGGACTTTTTTTTTTTTTTTACATGCATTTGTATTTTAACGTTAACTTCACAGTAAAGTGTGATGTTGACTTTTGACAGCTGCTTAAATATACACAAATGATGTACCAATAATAATACTAGTTACGGATGCCGTACTGTTGCGTTGGAAGGATTTCCTGAGAACTACAGAGTTGTAATACATGCAATGCTTACTTGAAATTTCTTTAGAGGCCTTTTTGTTTGGAGAAAAATATGGAAAATATGCTACACATGAACCTTGATCTAATTGTTCGTGTCCATACCTACCTATTAATATACATAAAAGTAATGGCCAAAAGTGATAGCTGCTTAGTATATAGTAAATGTTAAAAGTGCCCTCAGTGCATCACTAATACAGATTATTATAGGCTGGTAGCAGTTTTGTGTTAGTTTGTTTTATTGTGCCATGGACAGTGAAGCTGAACTCAAGCTTACACAGGACATCAGCTTTGCTTCACTGCCCTCTACTGGACTAGTGAAGGAACTCATGTAGACATTTACCAAGTTTCATCACAACAACATGCAGATATTGTTTGATTTACTTGTTTATTGTGACAGTGTTGTCTTAGTCTTCATTTATACGAGTTCTGCCATAAGTTTAATTACATGAAAGCACAATAATTATTGAGTGAACATTATTCATTCCACACTAAGTGCCAACAGTAAGCAATAACGACTTTTGAGTAATTAGATTTACTTTGATGTGTGGAGTTTACAAGAAACACTCGTCTTTAGTAGTTTTTACCTTTTTTAAAGAAGAATTTGTCTTGGTGTTAAGAGGTGATGTAGCGTTGATACGGGATAATGTTGAATATGTTGTAGTATTCACATTGTACGATGAACAAGCAGGTGAAGATGGTCCATTAGTATGTTGATTTGACCAAAACGCTGTGATCATGTGCCTGTTCAAAGTGTGATGTTCAGGTTGTCGCCAATAAACAGTCTGGTTCTTGACTTTGTGTTTGGTTTTGTAAACATCTGCAATAAGAGAAATGATCTGCATGATCATGGGTAGAAATGATCTGCACGTATTGTTTGTAAACGAGGCAGTGCTGGGAAGGTTACTTTGGAAATGTAAGAGGTTACCAAATTACAAGTTACCCGTTTGAAATTAAATCAGAATGTAACTATTTAAATTACTTTATCATAGCAATGTAACTTATTACATTTAATTACTTTTTGATTACTTTTTTAAATTTCTAATGAAAGTTTTAAACTGTTAATCATTTTCAAAAGACAGCTTCAAGCAATTTAACTGGTAGGGACGGGTGGCAGTGCAAATTAAAACGAGAGAACCAATCAGAACAGCATCAAACTTTACTAAACAGCTGAGGCTGGAAATTGAAAAAGAAGACATTCCCATAAAAAATATGCAAAGCAACACAATGAATATTATTCAACATATAGCCTAGCTTTTTACAGAAAGTATTCAAATGTAACCCCCAGTCTAATGTAAACATTCTCTACTGTAATTTAATTACACATTCTTTCCTAGTAAATGTAATGGAATACAGTTATATTTATTTTTTAATTAAATTACACAACTTAATTACATATAAGTAGTTACTCCCCTACGCTGAGTATAGTATGTTGTGCAAACAATGTGTATTCAGTAATGCTTTTTGTTATTTTATTTTTTTCCTCTTTACCGGATCTTGAATTAACCCGTTACAAATATGTTTAGAACATAAAACATAAGTAAATAAAATAACAAAACAGAACAAGACACAATTATAAACAAAGAACAAAGGCATTACATTTTCAAAAAAAATCTTTACATATTTTAACTGTTATGATTGCTTTATTATTTAACCAAATAAAACTTCAATATAATGTTTAATTTCTATCTTACAATGTGCTCTTTGTTATTCAGTCAGTGCACAGGCAGCATGATGCTCAGTCCTCCACCGACGGGCGGCGCTGTTGTCACATTTGATTTGTGTAGCTGTTTGCACTGGCAGAGGTCAAAGGTCGGGAACAGTAGGCTATTGGAAAGTCAAGTTGAGAAAAACAGCAGAAGGTAATAATGAATATAAAGTGCATTAACTAGCGGTGTGGTACTTCATAAAATGAGCCGTTCATTGTTGAGGAAATCTGCGCCGCTTGCTGGTAAGCTGCTTTTTCCTTACAGAGGCTAATGATAGCATGCTAAGTGTTAGGCTCCCATTATCGGACAGATGTTGTTATATACATTTTTCCTTGATGACCAGTGGATGTAAACAGAAGGCTGACATTTAAACCATCATTTTACGTTGCACGACCAGTTATAATGTAAAGTAGTGCGGTATTTCTGTCACAGAGAAAGAAAAGTGGGGAGGTTTTAGACAAACGTTAGCTAACACAGCAGTGGAAAGTCAGTGTGACCTGACACAGCTGTGCGACATCAAGCTGATTGAGGAGAAGTCAGTCAGTGAACTGACGCTTTGCAGGACGCCTTTCGAAACAATTACCTGACCGCAGGTGACTTTATTATCATTATTTATTGATCTTTTCAATATGCTGTCAATTAGAGATGTATTTTTAAGTTAACACTGGTATTGACAAATGCCCCAAAAGATGTTGTAAAAAGCTGTCAGCAGCAATGTTTGTGATCCTCACATTATGAAACAACAAATAAGAGCATTCAACAGAAGGTGTTTAATTAAATATAGATGATATGGAACAAAACATTTCCCTCTCACTTTTCCTTCTCAAAAAATGCTTGAAAATTGTTGCTCTTTAGTAAGTTCTTGAAAACAGAAGACTGATCTCATAAGATTATTTCATTGGGTGGCATCTGTATTGTCCTGGAGACAAATACGTAAAGACACACTGACCTTTTTGTATTTTTGCATTAACCCTGGACCAGCCAACACACCCTTCTCAGAAGACCCGAGGGTCCCAGCAGTGCATTGAAAGCTCAGTGATACATTTTGAAGTCAAGACAGAAATCTTTTCCCTGAAAGTCTGCTTGTGTGCCCAGTGTGTTTTGATAGGACTGCACCATTTAACATCTGCTGAGCTGGAGCCTGTGTAGCCCTGCCCGGATTTCATTTGCCTTAAGGCTATTTATTTTGAGGCTGGAGCATAAGTCGAGGCAGTGAGTGCAACATTCCAACTCATGGCCATGTGTTTGTGCCTCTCTGCTGCAGCCTAATGCCAGCTGAAGCGTGATGCATCCAGAGCAGCCCAGAACGGGCTTCGCCCTGCAGAGACGGCAGGCAGATTCTGCCCCTCGGGCTGCGCTGAGCACCGGTCTACTGCAGGGCCTCATCCAGAGCGCCAGGCCTCCTTCCTTCTGCTTCCTGCTCCCCAGGGTCCACGCAGCTGATGTGGCTGCTGCCCAGCCAGCACAGATGCCTTCCTCCTCCTCCTCCTTCTTCTCCTCTACCAGTCCTGCTCCTGCACCCATCCCCTCTCCCAGCAACTTGGGCAAACCAGAATTCCCAGACACAGGATGGGACCGTATCAAGGACCTCTTTGACAGAGAGTTGGTTCCTTCTTGACATTCTCTATTCCTCTTTCACCCCTTTTATCACGCTGCTCTCTTTAAAAAGTTATATCTAGTTAAATCTTTTCAACACTGTGTTAAAAAAGCAGTACTGTGTCCTCCATACTTAAGATGTAGACGGTGTGATGTCAGATCTTGAGCTGAAACAATTATGTTTCATCGATTAATCAATTTATGTTAAACTACCAAACATTCGCTAGTTCCACCTTAGATATGTTAAGAGATCTCCTGTTTGGCATCAAGTGTGTGTTCTGACCATAAAGTTAAGAAGTTTAAAACCACAATTAATCATGTGGTTTTTTTCAACTTTCCCTCCAGGAGTAAAAATCTCCCTTTAAAATTGAAAAATATTTATGCAATTAAACATTTATGCGTGTACACGAAAGCAATTGTGAGCAACATAAGGTGTGGAATTAACATCAGCCAACAATCAATAGTTTGTAAATTAAAATTTCTGTTTCTATATTACTTGTTGAATGCAGATATTTTAATATCTAAACGCAACTTCACATAGATGGTTTAGTCAATTAATGTTTCTTGGAATTGCACTATTAATTGTGTGTACAGATGAGGAAGGTTCTGAGTTGGTTCTCAAAGTATTGCCTCTTGTCCTCCTAGTGTAACACAGAGGTACCCAGAGGAGCTGACTAATGTGATAAAGAGTGGCGTAGCTGCGGCACTGGCAGGCTTGATCTACGGCGGCCTGCCAGCAGCTCGCCATGCCAGGCAGAAGTATATCCAAGTCAGCCAGGCGGAAATGTATACGAGCCGAGTGGAAGCAGTGGTAAGTTATCGAGTGGCAGAAACTGAACTGTATACAGAGTATTTACCATTAACGCCTTTGTTGAATAACTGAATACTAGCAGAGGATTTAGAATTTGTGACAAAGAGTAAAGTTAGACTAACCTTTTCTAAATAATCCAACTTTTTGAATTGGACACTGATCAGTTAGTATTGGGATTTGTGGGAAATGATAAGTGCTGTAAATTCTGTCACTAACCCCTGATATTTGTTACTGTAGAAAGGAGCACTGGGAAAAATTAAATGGTTAATGTTAAACTCTGTTGGTCTAGCTTCATGGTAAAAACACAGCAGCAACCTTATGGTTGTGTCCTTTCTGTCTAAATCAGCGCTCAGCCCACAACGCAGCAATCCGGGGTTTCGTGAGATACGGATGGAGATGGAGCTGGAGAGTGGCTGCCTTTGTCACCTTGTTCAAGTAAGCAAACAAATCCATTATACAAGACGGGTTCTTTAGGTTAGGAGTTCTATTTGAGACAATGAACAAGGCTAAATTGTACGTAATAGAACTTTACAAAGGAGGTTTTGAACTTGTACAAATCAAATTGCTTTAGGTTTAAATATTTGCCTTTCAAACAGCTCGACTGGAGCGAAATTGGACTGTTTATTATTGTTAATCTGTTGGGAATACAGGCTGTTACAGGCTCTGTGACAACAACTAGGTGCTAAGTGTGGTTTAGGTATTTTAGCTCTGACAATAATGAATATAGAATATTATTATATCATATTCAGATTATTTTTACTTCCAGTGATCATCCTGTTGGTGTCTAAATGTCTTTCCCTCATCTGTCTATTCCGTTCCCTCTCTAGTTCTGTCAGCACAGGGCTGTCTGTGTACCGAGACAAGTATACCCTCAGCCACTATGCTGCTGCTGGAGGTGAGTCACATGGGCTTCAACGGGGCCTGATCACAACTATTTGATTTGCCTTTATTTATCCAGGGAAAGCCGTTCTTACTGTGTCACAACAAGGCTGCTTCACATTCACACATCTCCCCATGTTTCCATGCGGGAGTTGTTCTGTGCAAAGCAGCTCCAAAATTCACTCCTGTTGCTGCTGTGTACTCATCAGGTCTGTCTTGAAAGAGATTTTAAGTGTCAGCTACCAAAATTTTTGGAATATAAGCGTTTATTTACTGACAGAAATCCTGTCCATCCTGTTTTCTATCTATACAAACTCATTCATCGTTATTGTTGATGGTTTGATAGGAGGTGGTTATATTTCACCAGTTCCTTCCAGGATTGAAAGGGGACAAAATGCCCCAGACACTTCTAAACTCACACCTGCAGCATGGATAACTCTACTGCTGTCCCCCTGCTGGAGAGAAATGTCATTTGAACACACTTTGGAGATTGTGTTTCTCACCTTTTTAAGCGCTTGCTGTGGGGCAACATCCTCACTTCACATCTGACAGAGGGCCATCTCCATCTCTCCCCCACCATTATTTCCTGTCATATCTTTACTGCCCATAAAATATATAAAAACAGATTACACCAGAAATTCCCTGACCAGAAAATGAGATTTGTGTATTGTGAAGAAATTATGTTTTTGTCCAATTTCATAAAAGCCTGGATAATCTTTCAGCTCTACAACTACTCAGATTTCTGGTACTGACAGTAACAATGAGAGTTTTATAATCCTTGTTGAACCAGATGACAAATTGTTTTAACACAAACCGTACACATGCCAGCACATTTGAATCATGAATGATAAGAATAAATGTCTCTGTGTGTGAGCAGCTGTGACTGGAGGCCTTTTCAGGCTGAACCTGGGACTTGGAGGGCTGGTGGCAGGGACGGTCATCGGAGCAGTGCTGGGGTAAGGTTGGCTTCTGCTTCCACAAGTGTGCATTCACATCCATAGATCTGTCCAACTCATAATCTAGCATCTGCCCTGAAGGATTTGAATCCTCATCACGGCATTGAGTTACATCTTCAGAAGCTGCTATGCGTTTATTTTTTAACAGACATGCGTATTTGCTCATGCTTGTGAGCGTGTCCACATTCATGCCCCTGTGCTTGAGAGCAGTGAGCACTCTGGCAGCCAGCTGCGCTCCTCCCAGCAACCCTCTGTCGCCCAGCTGTAACCCCCTCTCTGTTCACGGTGCCAGAGGGACTCATGTGCGCTGCAGAGGGCCATGTTTTGGGTACAAGAGCAAGGAGGCAGGCCAAGGCAGCAGCTGCCCTTCTCCATTTATGCCATCTCTGTTATTCCAGCCTCTCATCTCCATCTACCATGGTCTGATCTGGACTTATGCTTCACTCTGTGTCTCCTCTACCCTTTTCTCTCTCTGTCCCAATTTGCACTCGTTCCTCTGGCCACTTTTAGCTGAGTGCACGGAGCCAAGAGCAGATTTGAGTTTGATTCTATAATGGAGATTGAATGTGAGGTCTTTGATGGTTTGACAGACTGGTTTGGATTGTCTCTGTGATCATCAGCTCCATGTTGGCTCAGCCTTGGTCTGTTCTCTTGTTGGCTCCATACTAGCCTTATCGCTGCCCCCTCCTCCTCCCTTTCCTCTCCCTCTCACTGTCTGCCTGAGGAAACAGCCACCTGGAGCATTTGATGTGTGCAAACAGCCCTGGCTCTGGCTATGCCAGGTGCAGTCCAGGCCAAAGGGGGTGAAATGAAAGCAGGCAGCTAATCGGAAAGCACATCACGCTCCAGATCTCACCCCAGAATCGTCCCCTTGTCCAAACACGTGGCGGAGGTGTGACTGGAAGGTTTGGGTGGGCCTGGAGGGGCTGCAGAGGAGGGCTCGACTTTGTAAGAGACAGCTGAGAGAAAATTGGACTTCACTGCTGCTTTGATAGAAGTTGTGTATGTGACAGCTAGGTTTGTTACAAAAAAAATGAATGTGTTTGGTAAAGTGTCAACTGGACTTGAACTTACATAGCTGATGTTTTCATCTGTGGTGCAGGTAGTAACAACCATTCTCAGAAAGTAAAGTGTATTTTCTGTTTTGTATTGTTCCAATGCAAATATACATTTAAACATATTTTGTGTTCATGATGATATTAATGATAATGTAAACTAACTTCTGCTCAGGATTCCCACTGGTGCTTTGATCATCAGCATGCAGTCAGTGGCTGGAGAAACTACCAGAGAGAGGAGGAGGAGAGAGCGCAGGGAACTTTATGAGCTCAGACTGGCAGAATGGTGAGACAGAAGATTTTAATGTTCTCATAAGACTTTGTAGGATGTTTCACAAAGTATTAAAAAAATGCAGACCCAAATTTACATTCAAACTGGTTGTTATCCTGACGTTTAACGGTCAATCTTTTTACTTCAAATCATAAGGGCGGCCCGTCTGCAGTTGACAGATGAATTAATTGGAGATCTGAATGTCAGCTCTCAGGCAGAGGAAACCAATAAGGACATGCAAAGGATCCAGGAGCTGCTCAGTTTACCACAGAATAAGGATGTGACTCAGGAATCAAGCAGCCAATGACAGAAACTGGCTGTTACCGGTTGGTAATTGAAGGTGGGACTTATTTCCCTGGACTCCACACACCTTTTCTCTTACTGAATGGAAATTGCTTCACATCAGAATTAAACAACACTGTTGTACCTCACCAACTACTGTACTTTTGTGACTGCTTAGTAGACATTGGTTGTACCAGGCAGTATTTGGACAGCTACGGTAGGAGTGTGTCTATCTTTGTGAGGACTAATTTGAGTAGACATGGGATATTTTGACCAGTCCACACTTTGGGACATACCTTTTTAAAGGACTGCCTGAAAGTTAAGGCTTAGTTTCAAGGTTCAGGGTAGAATTTGGTTCAGTTTAGGGTAAGGTTTGGAGTTGGGTATAGATGTACAACCAAGTAAGGCAGGTTTTGACTGGGAAAGAAAGTTCAGGCATGTTCCGTTTCTCAGCAGAGGTCTTTCACTGAATAAAAGGAGACCCCATATACTGCAGCAAAAACAGTATTATTTATTTTAATTTAACTCGACGACAATGTTTGGTGAAATGTAGCTTCTGCTAATCTGCTAAACTGCTCGGCAAATTTGAAAGGGGCTATATTGGCTTCATCATAAATTCAATATTGTCATTGGAATTATAAAGCTTTAATGGGGGGCTTAACCTTTTCAAGATTTCATGCGCCATTTCTACTTGATTCAACATTACACAGTACTGAGTGACTCAACTAATGTGATCCAAAATCACAAAGTTACCATTGTAATAGATACAACCTAATAAAACATCCTTAACTGAAACACACTTTCTGCTTTATTGACACATTAAGATCCTCTAAAATAACCTTGTTTCATCATATGCTCATCCCTCACAGACGTTTCATTTAGCTTTCAAAATTAGCTCCTGTTCTCAGCTCCTGTTTTTTTAGTGTCAGTTTTGTATTTATATGAATTAAAAGGTAAGTTGAGGAAAAATTAAACACAGTAAAGTGTAAGTAGCTCATCACACGCTGTTCTGCCAAGGCCCGAAGTCACCTTTCTTCACGTTAGTTATTATACTAGTTACTACGTCTGCTCCTTTCTTATTTAATGTTTTATTTATTTTTTACACCAAACAATTGTCAGTTGTATTACAAAATGGCTTAATGTTAAAATGGCATGTTTGTGTAGTGTGCTTTTGACTTTGCCTCTTGGGCTTTTCAGCAACTAGGTCAAAGATAGCCTTGGCCCCTGGTGTAAACAAGATGTGACACAGCAACAGCTGGGGCCCAGGATGCAGCAGTAACTGCTGACATGCAGATGACAGCCAATTGAAACAGAGTGAGGAACCCTAGCTGTCCACAGCTTGGTCAGTTATGATAAACGCAGGTAAACGTGATTCATTAGGAAAAAAATATATCGTTTGTTTTCCGCTGAAGTGTGTTTTAAACATCAAGCACTGAATTATTGCAGGTAGACGTGGCAGGTAAGGAGTAGAGTATTTTGTCAGTTGTCTCTAGCTGTGTCCCAGCAATCAAACTGTAATAATGAAGAGAACAGTGGGATGATAATTTTCACATGGAAATGTCCACATTTCAGACCTTTTCATTTATGTTTTATTTGAATGGCAAGATATGTTAAACCTTTGCTGAAACACAAACAGTTTGGTTTAATTGACTCTGGTCCCATCCCATCATGACCAAGGTGCAGCACATCTACAGTCCCACTGCATAGTTTAAGGGCATATACTTATTTGGGTGGAACAACATTAAAGCTATTTAAGCAGTTTAATTCATCCTGACCACTTTTATCATGTAAAATTGTTTATTTTTATATTATGTGTCACCATTTAAGATGTATAATTTTTGTTTTGGAAATACAGTCACAGGAAAAAGGAAAAAATATGTGGTGTGTTCAATTTAAACAGTTATTTATTTGCAAGTTAGTTTAAGCATACTGTGTTTGTCTATTGTTGTGACTTGATGAATATCAGATCACATTTTACGACCACTTAATGCAGAAATCCAGGTAATTCCACATTGTTCACCTACTTTATCCTGCCACTGTGTAAATATTTTTCTGAGAAGTACAAAAGGGACAACATGCATTTCATGTTGTAAAATGACAAGTGAACCTTGTTAATGTAATATCTGGCAAAAAGTTTGAGATTATGTAGCCTGATCACTGTAGTTATCCTCTCAAGCAAGGAAGGAACCGATGACTGCTTTCAGAGCAATAACATTTTATAAACATGCTCTCAGTTCCCTCTATTGGTAACTTTGTATAACTGCAAATGTACTCTAAATAAAACATAAAATAAATACAGTATACACATGATACTACATTTCTCTCTGTAGCTTTCAGTAACATAATATCTGCCAGATACTTTTAGTTACATTTCACCTCTGTTTACTGATGTTTTTAGCTAATGTAATTGCAGCAGGTGTGTACTCTGTATAGTGCCTGGTGCACAGATGCTGCCTTTGAGTGCTGCTCGTAAGAACGAGTACATGGAGAATGGCGTTTTGCTCGTTCTTGCAAATTCTGTAGAACCGGAAACATTTTTTGTTTTACAGAGAGGTCACACTACTGGCTGTTGTAAATCTAGTGGCACAAAAACACTTAATGTACAACAAATATGTGATGTTTACGCTGAATATATATAGGGCAAAAACTGAGGACAAGGTCAAGTATGCTCAGAAACGGGTTCAACTATGCCTAAACATCAGACAAATCTAATATAACAACTAAATTAGCCAAAGTATGTGCTGCTTTCTAAGAGAAATAATACTGATGAATACCTCTACAACTAATAGGCCCACTATGACCACTTCTATTAGGGTACTTTAAATAGTAATAGTAGTAGCAATGGTAGTATGATGCGATAAGTAGGCTACTTATTGTTACTGAAAAAACAGGTTTTACCGATGCAATAATTGTTTTAAATGGCTTCTCATTTGAATTTTATTAATTAAATAAAACATGTTGAAGTAAACATACAGGCTTCTAAGGGTTCACTTTTAAAACACAAGCCTATATGCTAGTTGTTGTCTGTCAATAATAGCCTAATGTAGATGGCTATTAAATTACCAATGCTAAGTTATTTGTGAAATCCTGCATGGTTTCCATGCTGCAAATGCCACATCCCATAGTCACTTTCACTTTCATTTGGTACTTTTTGGCGATTCGGTCGCGTTCGCCTATGTTTGTCATATATGCCTATATAATAAGTCAACGCGGACCCGAGCGGCTGCAACAGTGTTGTTGTTATGCGAGTCTCTGCTTTACATGATGTTTGCAAACTACACATCTGGTGAAATTATAAATTGTCCCTGAGTTGACTGGTGCGCAAAGACAGTTGCGTCTTCCAAGGGGAAGTCGTCCATGACTTGACTGGTGCGTGTGGACAGTGTCTTCTCCAAGGAGGCTCGGTGCTACCGGCTGCTGAACTGATGCCAAATTGACAATGACGATTAAGAAGGAAGAGGAGAGACTAAATCCGTTGGTAGAGCGACTCAATCCGCTGGCGACTGCAAGGTTTCTGTCAAGGTTGTTTTTGTGGTGAGTGATCAGTCACAAGATTTCGCATTAGTAAAAGCAAAGTTTCCGTCCCGGAAGAATAACTCCCGGCACATCCCATTCCCAATTAAAATAATTCCGAAAATAGCGTTTATTCATATTATATCTGTGTGTTTTATTATATAAAAACTGATATACGTTTCCTGTCCTTGACTTCTTTTTTTTTTTTCCCCCTATCCCGTCATAAATACTGAAATTGACTCCCATCCCGCTGGAATCCAGTGACCCACATTCCCGAAAAAATGTAAGCCTCTAGAGAACAATAACTGCAGCTTTTGAAATGTGACTAGGGCTGGAAAGACTTGAGACATTTAAGCTTTGACACAGTAACTACTTAATTTGATTCTCACAACTTTAAACACCTGCTGAAACTCAAATACAAAACAAATGTAATTTCCATCGTACAATTGTATAAATGTGAGGAATCATTTAAGTTATATCCAGGCATTTTTACCATAACTTATAGTTAATCCAGCAACAAAATGTTGATTTTTAGATTTCCTATTACATTGGCAGTCAGTATTACAATCAAAGTGATCTTCAAAGAATTTGTTTGGAATTTAGCCCCTAGTGGGCAACCACCTTTCAGTATCCCAAAACACTGTTGAAAAAAGGAAGGGAACACTTATCAAGCAATGCAGTATAACATGTCAATTTAACTTCAGGGATATCAATCTGTACCGTTGGGTGGGAGTTAGGGATTGTGAATTGATGTCACTTGTTTCGGTGAAAGTGACAACAGGTGCACTGAAGAGACAACCGCTAGACAACTCCCAAAACGGGAACGGTTTTGCAGGGGGTGGCCACAAACAATTGCTCTCTCATTCCGACTGACTGATCTTTAGTTTTGTATTTTGCTAGTGTCCTTGTCACTACTAGTAGCATGAGGCGGCACCTGCAGCCCATTCAGGTTGCACAGGTAGTCCAGCTCCTCCAGGATGGCACACCCATAACTGCTGTAGCAAGAAGGTTTTCTGAGTCTCCCAGCAGAGTCTCGAGTGCAGGAGACGGGCCTTAGTAGGGCATCAACCTAGCAGCAGGAGTGGTATCTGCTCTTTTTTGCGAAGGAGGAACAGGAGGAGCACTGTCAGAGCCCTACAGAATGACCCCTACCAGGCTACTGGTGTACTGGCCAGCACCGTGCAGCTCAACTGGCATTCGCCAGAGAACACCAGAATTGGCAGGTCCACCACTGGTGCGTTCTCTTCACAGATGAGAGCAGGTTCACACTGAGCACATGTGACAGACATGAAAGAGTCTGGAGATGCTGTAGTAAACGTAATGCTGCCTCAACATCATCCAGCATTGGTGGTGGGTCAGTCCGGGGAGGTTTATCCTTGGAGGGTCGCACAGACCTGAGTCTGCTTTTGAGTCTCTTTTGAGTTGCTGTGATAAGTGACGCAAGTTGGATCAGCCTGTGATTTTATTTATTTTTATTTAAATTTTTGTTGTGATTTTGAATCCAGCCCTGAGTGTGTTGGTGATTTTGGTTCCCACTGACTGTTGTTACGTCACTTTATTCTCAAGTAAATACACAGTAAAGATTTTGAACTTTGAATTATTTCGTTTATGGAGATCTGATGTGTAATTAAAGTGTTCCCTTGTTTTTTTTTAAACCATGTTTATGAAATATGAATTTAAATCTAGGAGGAAGAGCTTGATTACAGATCAATCATTTTGGACCTACATTCAATAATGCCTAGAAGATAGAAATGCCACAGATTCTATTGAGATCACATAAGTGTGGTAGCAGCCTGCTATGTGAAGAACACTGAACACCACTTGAAGATTACTTTTTGGCTTTTACTGCAAATACCTATAGTGTTACCGAAGTAAATAATTAAATCATCATTGTTTGTCAAGGGTGTTAACTTGTCACCTTTCAGCGAAAATGAAAAGCTCTTGCCTGTCCTTTTTTTTTTTTTCAAATCTGCATAGCCTTTGTAAAGTCTATAATTATCCAGTCTTATACAAGTTTATTTATCATATTGCAACGCAGGGTTGTATAACAAGATGAAATTGTAGTTCCCTTTATGCTACTCTCAAAAGGCAAAGTTATATATAAACATTATATACAGTAAATAGGTGGATAAATAACAAGTCACAGAAATAAAAACATTTAGCAACTCTTCTCCCACAAAATTAATGTTTTTAATGATAGAAAACTAAAGTTTGATGAGTGGGCTAGAATGTCCACTAACGTGTTTCTTTACCAAAAAATATTTTTATGAACTATACAAAGAAACAAGAGGAAACAAGAGCGAGTGAAGAAGGGCTGCTGTATATTGTGTCTCATGCTTTTTTAAAACCCAATTTGATTATTTAAGTTAATCAGGTCTAAACCATGCATTAGAATAAAATATTAGTGGTTAGCGTTTTGGTGTTAGCCACCCCATGGATGTGATTCATATTCTGTTTGACAGAAATCTTTCCTGCTTTCTAACTGCATTAATTACTTTCTGTTTCAGCTGGTTAACCCCATTACTGCACCTTGGCCACAAACAGAGGCTGGAGGAAAGTGACATGTACAGCATTCTTTCAGAGGATCGGTCTGAAATACAGGGAGAGGAACTACAGCGGTACTTTGTTGCTGTGATACATTATTAGATCAATCCAAAAAGTCTGGTAGCAGACTGTTGGGAAGTTGCTAGTTAAAACATACCTGCTGTTGTTTTAGTACAGGTTGTTCTTTACAGTTTCAGTAGTAGACAAGCAGACAGCCGATGTTGTCAGAGGTTTTCTATAATCACATTCAGTCAAGTTTTATTTATTTATTTTGCTAATCATTTAAATGTTGGCACGGATCTGACCTGTTTACTCATCAGGTTTTGGTTGCCAGTTCACAAAATAATTGTGAGAAATAAAACATCACTCCCCAGTTATTCACATAAACATATTCAATTGCCTGAACTCAACTGAACACAGGCAGCAGCTTCTGCTCACACAAGCAGTATCCAAATGTTTAAGATCTATATGTAGGCTTTAAAGGGAAATTTCACTCTAGTTCTAAACAATTGTACTTAATTTACATAAGAATATTATCAAAGGAGTTATGGTTTCACAGACTATTTTCCTGTGTAAAGTAAAATTCCTGCTGTTCTCGTGTTCTTCTCATGTGCTTTTGTTGCAGAATGTGGGACCATGAAGTTAAAAAAGCTCCAAAGGAACTTCAGAAGCCAAAACTCACCAGAGTTCTTATTAAGTGCTATGGGAGGTCCTATGCAGTGGCTGGGTTATTTGCATTTTCACTGGTAGGTTCTGGCTCTTTAAAGCCTCCTTTACTTTTTGTCAGATAAATTCAATGTGGGGAAATCGAGTAGTAGGCTGGTATACACAAAGGAATTGATGAGTGTGATTGATTAAGTGTGGAGCACAGTAACAGTATTTTGTGTCCTTCTTTTTCATGAAGGAGGCAATTAAAGTGATTCAACCACTTCTTCTGCGGGAAATTATCCTCTACTTTGAGAATTATGACCCAGACGACCAGAGAAGTCTTTACATGGTGTACGGTTACGCTGCAGTGATGTCCCTCTCCACCTTTGGACTGACTCTCCTTCAACATCTCTACTACTACCACGTCCAAAGAACAGGCATGAAAATGAGAGTGGCCATGTGTCACATGATATACAGGAAGGTCAGTGATTTGCAGCCTAGATGCAAGTTAGACCATTGGTCTGTAGAGTGTTGGACATTGCCCTTTTAAAATGAATGGGTGCAAATGTTAGTTACATACACTAACTCCACATCCTGTGAGTATATG